TAAATAAAACACTTTAACGGTTTAAAACGCGATATATTAATTAAACTTATTTTTCGTTTCGGATGCTTTGCAGCAGCCGTGGCCAAGTCTCCCCGTGACCACGGCTGCTGCAAAGCATCCGAATCGTCGGGCCGAAGTTAAAAATCATTTTGAAATAAGTTTAATTAATATATCGCGTTTTAAACCGTTAAAGTGTTTTATTTAAATGTGTACTACTCGCGTAAACTATAGACAGTATTTTTTTCTACTATTTATTTTCATTACAATCTGTTCAGCTGTTTGTGTTAAGAGCTTTCTTTAACATAGTTTGCTTTGGTAACTTTTACTAACAAATTTTCAAATCTCCTGAGTATAAAATAGAAATATGATCTGGTGCAGTTAAGCCTTTATAACTATCATACCTTTTTTATATAGAAAACACACAAAAGTATTTTGGTTATAGAATTGTTGGAATACTCAAACTATAAACTACAGTCGATTATAACGTCGAGTACAATTGAAGTCGTTTCGAGCGTTCTAAAAATCGTTCAGCAGTCCGAAACATAGCTAAGCCAATACTTAAGGATTGGATTTCCGATTGTAAAATCCGTTGGCAATCCATAAACAGGAATTCACGGCTATACATTCCGTTGTCGCATTTATTCACTTGGCTGCCTTTATCCTTGTTGAACATTAATCTGCTTCTGACACGGACACTGTGCTACCCGAAATCCAGGCTCTATACAGCAAGCTTTTATCCGACGCCGCTGAAATACTGTATTGATTTATCTCTGCGCCGCTTTTATTTGCCCATTGTGAATAATTATCGACTATTTTCATCGAGGCTCAATGGATGAGGTTGTGAGATGCGGGCTCCGTAGGTTAGATTCCCACCAAACGTAACCACCGTCCACACCGTTTAAATCTGGGTTTCGATTACTGTCTGTGAAAATCTGAATGTTCAAAGCTAAATCGGTCGACAGCGCGTTTTGTTTAGATGCTGTATGTTTATTTATTCTTTATTGCACAAAACATAATAATGATACAGAATAAAAACTCATAAACTAAAATGGAGTGCAATAGGCGTATAGCTGGGGTAGTCCACCTTTCATCACTTGGGTCCACCTGACGTCTCCTTCAGTATAATAACAAATTATAATATTAAAATTGCACTTGAAATACTAAAAGATTACCATCATTCCACGTCGTTTTAACGTGATCAGTTGCTGAAAACAGTATTCTAGAAAAGGTTCTAGGCACTTAAAAGTGGGTAATTGGTTGGCGAGCTTGAACAACAACTAGTCACGATAATCGCCACTGAAGCGGTTATTGATAAAGGCTCTTCGCAAACCGTAACGTTACGTAAAGGGATCAGCACACATTGATAATAGAAGATGCCATTGTTAACTATACAAAAACATATTTTATAGCAACTACTCAAATGTACTCCGCTGTATTGCGTGGCGTCATGAGTCAATTTTGAATTCTTACAAACGTGTGACTTTTTGTGTAGCGTCTGAGTATGAGCTGACCCTTACGCGTCCAACAATACTACAAAACAAAAATACAGATTTTTCTCACTTCTTATGACTTCTTGTTATCGTTTCCATATGACTGAAACTTCTAAAAGCGTTCCCTTGTCTATCAAATCATTCATCAAGTGATTAGTAATAGCATCGATCAAGGAAGGGAATAGATATGGTATTAGAGAATTGTGTGGGTGGATCCATATCTATTTCTTAGAAAATCTCATAATGAATGTTCACCGTTACGCCTATAGAGAAATATTAGTCTAAAATTTTACTCGTGACTTCATTGCCAACTAAGACAAAAAGGTGCGCAATGATTCATTCGTAGAACCAAGAGAACATTAGATTTTTTTCGAGTTGACATTCTATGTTAAAAATACGATGCGTCTACGCTTACAACTTGTCTGTGAAGAAGAGGGTTAACAAAACTAATACTTTCTTTGCAACACATATTTTCAATCTCTTTGTTAAAACGCAGATAATACTATTATAAAGTAAACAATGATATCAACGGTAGATGATTTTTGTTATTTTTTATACTGTATGCTAATCCATTTCGTGAGTTGCAAAACATTTGCTCATAGAATATGAATGGCTGAATCCTATCCATTTCACTAAAATATTAACAGTTAACTGATGCTTCGTATAACGGCATTAATGAATTGCCTCTACAACAAGAATATTCGATATTGGTTAACCAATACTACGTTTTAATTTTAATTTATTTACAAACGCTCGAGCTGAATACGAAATTAATAATAACAGTAACAATTCTTTTAAGAAGAATATAATTTTACTATAAAATGTCCCTAATTCAAAGGTTGCCTTAGTGAACAGAGTGTGAAACGCCGTGTATGTCACCCCTAAAAATAATTTTATTTACCTCTAATAAATCAAACATTTTTCATTGAATTGTTGAAATATTGGAATGATACTAATGGTAATAAAAATATATTGCTAAGATATAATCTGCTTAAAAATGCATAAACATGTAATCCACATGACAATTGGCTAATAAAGCTTACGACTTGTACAGTTCTCTCCAAACTTTTTGAGCGGGATGAAGTTAGCGCGACGGCCATCTTGCGCATGGTGATTTTAAGCAAAAAGGTCGTCTTGGACTCGCGCACCCCACTTGTCGCTACTGATATTATTGCGTTCTGCGCGACCATCCGCGCTATCTTCAGCACCGTCAAAAAGTTTGGAGAGCACTGTACATAGTTTATTGTCTGTCACGAGGCAGAATATTTCGAGCTACTTAACTTGCTCTGTAGCCTCATGGATCAATAATTACAGCAGATAGATAGGAAATAATATAGTAAAAAATAAAGTGGATAAAGTAGGCCATGCCAAAGGAGTTTTCATAACTATTTTGATATTGCCTCACTGTATACTTAAATATGACGTTCATAAAATTTTAAGTACACGTAAGTCAGCCATTGAAACGTCATCCAGCTTAACTGTCACGTGTGGCCAGTGGCGCTCTGCGTGACTACAATACCGTGAACCAAACACGCCACTTCAACGTGACAACAGCGGATATTAGTTCGTTCCGAGCAGCCACTGACATCTGTATTTAATACTGTGTATTACAAGGAACAGAAATATACACAACATACTTAGTGACGTGAACTTCAGTTTAGTTTGAATACCAAAACATTATTTATTGTCTAGAAAGTCATTGAAATCTTGCGTTTCACTTGAGAACGTTAAAATATAACACTTTAAACGGTTTAAAATGCGAGATATATTCCTTAACCTTTTTTTACTACGACCCTTAATTCCACTAACATATTTTATTTTACACTATTCCGCGTTTCAAACCATTAAAAGTGTTTTATTTTGAAATTGTATGCCTACTATTCGCGTCAAGTAAAGACATCTTAGAAGACTGGGTAAGTAATTTTTAACAAAATGCATCAAACAAACGAATATATAAAAATGTAATACATTGCAAAACCCAATTAATCTAACAATCTCGTGTTTTTAATTACATTGTTAGTTACACTAATTGCTGCTCGATGAATTTCTTTTGTTTTCATGGTAATCTTGTGTTCAACGCGAACGTTTTATTCAAAAGATAAAACTGCCGTCCGAATAAAACATTAACAAAACTTAAGCCCCAAATCTATTACTAAACGAAAAAGTAAAATATTTAAAATGATTGACGTGCTTGCTGGTGTCCTAGTAGCAATCTACGGCTAATAATCATCGGGTCGTGGGTTCGAACCCCACTGGGTCTAACATGTTTCTAATTTTTCAATTTATAATTATTCTAAAACATCTCGGACTTAGTTTGGAAATCTGGATATAAAATGGGTGGTGGGAATATCAAAATTCTGGCCCGGTCACGAACCACCGCCCACAGATGAAAAAGCCGTGAAGTTTAATCACGTTTCGGTTTCAGTCTGTGGATTTCCGAATATCCAAAGGCAAAATAGGTCGACGTCTTGTTTAGCGATAGACTGGGGAATTTCACCTGTCATCAAGTCAATCTCATGCTTGTCTATCCTTCTATATCATTTAAAAAAAGATTCCGACGTAATAGTAAAACAAATGAAAATCGTTATCATCGCCGTTTCGATCAGTTCAAAAGCCGAGTCACGTTATAAGAAGCCCATTGCGCGCATCCCCTCCACATAAATCACAAATCAAAAACTTAAAAGCTCATCTATATCAGTTGGAGCTCGGAATTGTTTCCACAAAAAGGGCGTAAAGCGAAAAAGATAAACGGGAATTATTCGATCGCGCCGTACATCAGCCGAATGGGCCGGGGAAAAACAAACTCGGCCCGATTCTCGAATAACCAATGATATATCCGTCAAACTCAATAAAAATCGACGAGTTATTGTTGCGTTATGGCTAGGTCGGTCGGGACTGTTAATATATTTTTTTATGATAGAGAAGCATGGGGGGGATCACTTGATGGTAGGTGAAACCCCACCTTTTTTGGCTTTGGATATTCGAAAATCCACAGACTGAAACAAAAACGATTAGACTTGACAGCCTTTTCATATGTGGTGCCATTGACACAAAGAAAAAAAAAAGTAATGTTCAATTAATTTAATTTTTCATTGCCCCTTTTTATCGTATAGCAATTTAATAATTAAAAAATAACTACCATAAATGAACCAACTGAATTTAAAAGTAATAATAAATAGTTTGGAAATGCCAATCGGTACCGGTGCTTGTCACACTCGGAAGCGTTGGTTTTTAAACTAGCCAATTAAAAGGAATAGTGAAAATTAAGTTTCCAAGACAATATGTAACGTACCTCAATACCTTAGCTCCTGGTATTTTATCTGCCGCAAAGCATCCAGGGTCGGGGTCGTAAGTAAATAAATAATATATTACGCGTTTTGAACCAATAAAATGTATTTACATAAAGCAATACTTACTTAATTACTAACGTACGCTTGACACTTGGAAAAATATACAAAGTTGTAGAATCACTTTAATTATTTGACATTCCAATGTGACTTAACAAAGGGTTCATATAGTAAAAATTATAGGAGTCTTATCTCGAACACAAGTTGATATTTTGAAGATTGTTTCGTATTTGTTTTTTCCGTTCAGACGGTTACACTCTTCTAGCACTGAGATAAATTCATTCCTTTTTCTATGATTCTGAACAAATGGTATGACATTCTTCATTATAATGTGACCAGTGTTTTCGGCATATCCACCTCGGTTCAGGAAGCAGTACAGAAACTTTTTCACATTTTCTGAGTCATTTAGGGTCAATGTTAAAAGTTTTTGCAGAGTGTCTGCATCTGCATTAGTCTCTGTGATACATGTTAACGAGGTTTCCATGATTCTAGGCAATTCCGCTTGCGATATCTTCACATATTCCTGCAAAAAATAGTATAATAAATAATACGAAAGTAATGTATTCTGTACCTTAGGCAAGAATACTAAAGTACGACGGTTGTTGTCAAAATAATTATTTCTTCAAATCCACAGAATAAACTACATGTGTATACATATACGTCCTTTACTAACGTAAAAACAATAAATTTTAATTATTGTTAATAATTACTCAATGCTTACTCTCTTAGACTCAGCTCGCACACCAGCGAGAAATAGGACGCAGAACAATAACTTTAACATTATGAATTGATGAAGTCTAACATTCTGACCGTTTTATATAAGTTCTATTGTTTGTCCTCCTTGTCAGTTTCACAATAACAAAATATCATAAAAAATTGCAATTGTATTTAATTTGCTTGTTTATATATATCTGTTACCATCCTTGTTCTTGCGCGGATGATGCATGATAATAATAGCTTCTGTAGATATTAATTACTGAACAGTTTTTCTCAGATAAGATTATGATTTCTCCACAATTACCTTGATAGATTTTACAGATAGACAATGGAGTTTGTGGATGTTATTATTCCACTTAGGCTTTAATTTCAAGTAACCAACCCTGTAAAAATGTAAGGAACAATGAATGACTGGTAAGTAGGTATAGATTTTATTTAGACCATAATTTTATAATCCAGATGTAGGTTGCATTAATCGATTCCCAGAAAAATATTTTGCCGCATACGTAATTTAAAAAGTTGTAAAACTGCGTACAAATCATATTAAATTAACATACAAAATGAATATCAATGTATCTATTTTCCTGACAGCGCAAATGTATTACAATCTGTTAAAAATTTAAAATAACCTCGTCTTCATTCATTTATTATGTCCTTGACATTGACATTGACATACGAATACCTTCAAGTTCTGTAGTTTGACGTTTAGTATCTATAATAATGTTTACTGTTGACGAGCATTTTAAAAAACTGTAAATAGCGAATACTGTTGTTTGATTTCGATTATATAATAGGTTTTGTATTCAAGTGACGGAAATATTATGTGAATTTATTCAAACAACTCTACAAAGTGCAATTCATTACCACATAGCATCGTACTATACGCCGTATTTATGTCGCTTAGCTTTCAACACGGTGAGGTTATTCACTTACTGCAGTGTTACGTGCATTTAAGTTGAACATTTCTTCTTCCTATATTGTAACTATATATTTCCTAACAGGTAGACTAATAAGTGTCTTAGTTACAAGAAAAATGACGACTCTAAGCGGCGTTGTTGCCGACTCGATAAGGATGAAATTGGAGACCGCCTTACAAACAAAGCATTTAGAGGTGATAAATGAGTCATATATGCACAACGTACCCAAGGGCGCCGAAACTCATTTCAAGGTCGTCGTTGTTTCTGATAAATTTGATGGTTTACCTCTGATTAAGGTAATAAATAAATATAATCAAGTACAGCATATTAAGCCACTTCTTTAATAAAATGACATTAAAAATACTTTACAAAAATGAATTATACTATAGTTATACCATTTATTTAAAACATAACAATAAAAAAGGTATAAATGTAATTTCTATTATTCACCAATTGATTAGAATACATTGAACCTATACATTGTTTATATATATGCCTTACACACATAACACCTACTATAACACTGGTATTAAATTCAGTGACATTATTGCTGTGATAAGTGCCATTAAGTACCTTGTGTTATTCTTATTTCAGAGGCATAGATTAATAAATGATATACTCCGAGAAGAGCTGCAGGGTGGTGTCCATGCATTATCCATAATTGCTAAAACCCCCGAACAATGGGATAAGAGTGATAAGATTATTGAGAGTAGCCCTAACTGTAGAGGAGGTTTTGGGAAGTAAAAATTTTATTTAATATAGTTTAACCTTTTACCTTACTAACAAATGGCATAAGGGCATATTTTTTGTCTCCTTTATATATATGTCATAATGAATGTAAAGGAGTCAAAACAACTGTGCTTATGCAGCTTTTGTTAGCCCTCTTAAGTTTTAGATAATTGAACATTACTCCAAATGTAAATATATGCTATAAGAGTTTTTTATAGAGCAATATTATTTTAGTCGAGAATGCTAGGATGGATAGCATGCAAATTTGCAATGTTAAAATTGTTAGCATTTGTTATACACTAAAACTTTTAGTATATGAATATGATTTTTTTTTAGTATAAAGACAAGGCAAAAGTGCAATGCTTTGCCTTATCTCGTATACCCATATAAAGATTTAACAATCTGGTTTAAATTGGTAAAACCAGTTGTATATAGTTACGGAAAAAAGGAAGTTGAAAAAAAAATTCAGGAAGACAAAAAAGGTTAAACAATCTTAATCCTTTAAAAGCACACATAGTTATTATACTCAGACTGATACCTTTAAGCTTTTCATATCCCATAGTTAATAGAGAAATAAAATACCGTTTCTGTCTTTATTGTTTTATTACTATAAATGCACCGCATCAAACCATTTTACATTCTTTCAATATATATATATAATTATAACTATATTTTACAATCTGTAATACTTGTAATGTTGTAATTGTTTTTACATCTATCTCATGATGGAAGGTGAATCATTTAAATATGATGAGAAACTTTTAACACTATACTATAACAAGAACAATTCTAAAAAATAACAAATTTTCTAAATTTAAACCTTTTACGTCCCAAATGAGAAAACATTACAAATGAGTTTTCTAGTGTATAAATGTAGTTACCCATGTAAGATTTTCACAGTTTTCACAAATACGAAATCGGGAAAATTTACACAGACTAAATCAAAGTGAGATAAGCTTATTCTATAGTATTCAACAATAGCAGTACAGGCAGGATTACAAAAAGTAATTCTTACACCTATTTCAATAAGAGACAAGTCTTTGAATATACAATCTACATGTGGTATGACAAAATTTACACACTGTCTTAGGAGTTGATCAAATTGCACTCAACACATCACTTCAGTCACTACACCGTTAAACGGTGTTAGTTGTATCAGAGGTTGAAATTATCCAATCTTAACTTCCCTTCATTCTCGGTTAGATATAGCAAATCCGCCATTGTTTGTTCGCAAATTGCTTCTTCCGCTTTTTCTGACATCTGGAATCAATTAGAGAAAAAAATAACTTGTTTGCTAAATGCTAACTGCTTCATTCATGATAGAAATAAATACCTATATAATATTATACTTTTTTATTTTATAATTAAATTACTTTTTGCTTTATTCGAACTAAAGGAGCTTGTTACTTTAAAGCAGAATAAAATAGATAGTATTGAAGGTGGAAAAAATAATAAAATTTTGCAAACCAGAAAGGTTAAAAAGGACACGGTGAAAGTTGAATAACCCAATGTCCTCAATAGAAAATAATAATAATAGCAAGCCATAAAGGATGCGTTTGAGTAATTAATCCTTAATTTATGCGACAAAGTTAATATAAAAATAAGTCTTGTATATTTAAATAAAACACTAACAAACTTTAACAGTTTAAAACGCGACATAATATGTTAGTTAAACTTGTTTAAAATTATTTTAACTGCGGCCCGACGTTTCGGATGCTTTACAACAGCCGTGGTCATGTTCTAAGTAATATACATCGCGTTTTAAACCGTTAGTATTTTATTTAAATGTGTACTACTCGCGTAAACTGCAGACAGTATTTAGGTCTTCTATAACTGAGTTTTTATGAAGCATTTGCTTACCGGACGATATGAATAATCCGTAATAGGCGGGCATTTAAAATTAGGTCCAAAATTGACGCTGACTGTGCAGTTCTTATGTAACGACACGGACGGGTAGTAGCAGCCCTGATACACATCGACGAACGCCTCGCCCTGACATTCGCCATTTTTGAAGAAGAGTATCCGGCTACCCGTAAGTGGCTTGAGATTATTCAGAGATTCTTGGATGTTATCCTTGTCTTCGTAGTACAGATGACTCTTGAATTTCACTAGGGGCTGAAAATTTTAAGAGTTTTGAGTTATTTCTAGAGATGGGCCGAGTACTCAGTTGTTTGATAAAGCTAAATATTTAGATAGATATAATTAACACAACAGTGTTAATCTTTCGAAAAGGTATTACATAGAAATTTAGGACATCTTTAAAAAAATCAAAATTAAACTTTGAAGTAGTAATGAGACAAAATTAGGAGAAGATGAGAGCGAGCCGACGTCTTGTGCGGGACGAACTTGTTAGTAATTGTTTACGCGCGCGAAAAGGGAATATAATTGAACCTAGTTAATCGACGAGTGCCCAGTTGAAAAAAAATTGAGCCGACAAAAACTCGGTACTCGTTACGGCGCATCTCTTGTTATTTCCAAGTTTTATAAGTTGATATGCTGCAGTTTTAAAGCACTAGATAATCTTTAGATATATTTCATCTGACATATATAGAGCCTTTATTAATTAATGATACAGCAATAATGACTTCATTAAAATAACATCATTTCATATGTCTGTATCTGAAGATATTTTTCTCCATCATTATTTTTGTGTTGTTTTATCATTTGGTAGTCTATCCAATAGAGCACTTTTATGATTACTAAATACAGCTTTCATATATCGTCCATAATCTAAAAGTCCCAAGTTCCCTGGAAAGAGGGTAAATTGGCCAGGAGTTAGTGTAGACTATCCAGGAAAGTATCCATGTCCCCAACAGAAGATTGTACTTAAAGACTTCCTTTAAATGTCATGGTCGAGTGACAGGTACTCACCCGATCCTTGTAAGTGTTGGGTGTGTACTTCGTCGAGAGGCATTCTGGCATTACAATGAGAAATCCTAACGTGTCCCCTTCACCATACCCACTACTGTAGTGCTTGCCGCGAGACTCATGGAACCTAAAAAACAGTTAATGTTTAAATATCTCCATTTGTAACTTATTGAATTGTTTTATTATTGACTCAACTATAAAAAAATACTTTTTTCATAAAATTCTTCTCAAAATCGAACCTAGTGCCCTTACGACTGCGCCACGAATACCCAAACTTGTCATAGCCCAGTGGCGCCTGCAAGTTGGCATATCGACGCCCCCAACCGACACGACTGGCTGCGCCCTCCGGCATTTCTTCAACACTGGCCTCCCAGTACCAGATCCCCCTTGATACACCTACAACAATAGTCAAAATATTAATTCAAAAACAGATATAATGCATTAATTAGTATTATGCAATATAAAAACAAAAGACAGTAGAAATATAAAAGAAAAGGAAAAGAAAGCAAACAACAGACTTAATATTTCTACAGGACTTTCAATTCATAACTTATACTTCCTGTTAACATTATTCCATGTATATTAAATATAAAATGTGTTTATGTGTGTATATGTAAATTGATATATTTTGTTTCCTTTCGAGATCACCATCATATAAGAGCCAGCAGTGGGCAGACTAGCTAATTGAACGCACCATGAGTAGCTCGCACCATGCAATACCCCTTCTCCCCAGTAACCGCCAGCCGGTCTTCAGCAATTTTCAGCTGCGGCGCCCGATCGTGCAGAGCTAGCAGCACCCCGCCGGGACAAAGGGACCGGTACAGCCACCCTGGTATCGGCTTACCGCTCCATTCGTTGCTCTCGTCAAACTCCTGTAAGTTGTTATTATATGTTATTTGTACATGGGATTTTAAAACCTCGACATACGTGAGTTAAGGTCAAAATTGCAAGAGGACAGAGTTTCTTGTATTAGAAGGAAGTGAATTTTAAGTTAAGTTCGTCCCACTCCTGTATACTAATAATAATAATAATTTAATTTCATAAAATTCCAATCTAAGAGGCATGGGGCGAAAAAAATGTTGTGTCCGCTTCACTACTCGGTTTTTTTACAGGCAAGTTGTTGATCAGACTTTTATGCCCGACCGATACCATCTAGGTAAATAATACCTGTCGGAACGGCGCATGAGGATCTGGCTCGGCGAGTATGTACCGATAGCCGTCCTTATTGAAGGGGTGCTCTGTGGGGTAACCGTGCGAGGGTAACTTCAGCGAATTGAGGTCGCTGGAGCGCCCCTTCTTGCCGACCGGGGCTCCAGTCTCCGCACCTACAGCGGGCCGCCGCTTGCCCTGACGACCCTTCACGTTGCCCGCGAGAGGAACTGAAAGATTAAGTAACGTGTTTTAAAAATGTTTATTTAGATGATATAAACGAATTAAAACACATTTACAAAAATATATAGTTTCCTTTGAAAGAAACCTTCTACCAGTTTAAAACTCGAAATGAATTAGTTACACTATGGCCCAATGTTTCGAATGCTTTGCACGGGGAGGCCCGGGTCGCGTTTTAAACAATCAAAAGTATTTTATAAAAGTGTACTACTACCCGCGTAAACTAAAGACAGTATATATTTTCTATTAAAATCTAATCAGATTGATTTTTATATTTTGTTTAAACCATTCTAAATCCCTTATAAGTGACTCAGTTGTAAAGGCGTTGAGTGCGTAAAGCGCGTACGGGAGATTATACGCGCCAGTTCAAAACCCGGGTAAAGTGGAGGATATACAAAGATGGCGTTCACGTGATAGAAGATGAAAAACCACCCACATAACATCTGCACAAAATGTGCTGTCGACCTATTTAAGCTTTGTATATATATATAAATAATATATACTTGCCTCTAAATAGATCAGTTAAAACGGACTTATTTATTGCTTTTGCCTTTGTCATAGAAAGTTTTCAGTATGTTCGGATCGCGCATTAACTGTATACCTAACAGCTAGTTAACTTATTCCACTACCGGTAACACGCGAGTGAAGCAGGCCGGATGTGTGTTGTAAAGACGGCCAGAATAAGGGTATGACACTTATTGGCTTCAGTTCCTCATGCGATTCTCATGCAAGTGGTCTCGTCTTAATATACGCGCTCAATAAACAACCAATGTATAGAAGTACCGTAATTTGTATAAAAAAAAAATCGAGAATCAAGTTAAATCGACCCCATTTTGTCGCATAAGCCCTCTGGGTTACGTAACTAAACCCGACGACGCTAACCTACAATAGGGTAACCATGACAACGAAGAAACCTGTTTTCTATATGGATACTAAGAAATATAATCGAATATGAGTATACATTAACGGTTTACAACGCGAAATGTTAACTTAATTAGTGAACCTAGTTTTAATTACAGACTGATGTGTCCAAAGCTTTGATAGAAGATGTGCTGAAAATACGTAATATAATTATTTATATACGTAACGTAATTATTTGTAAAGTATACTTATAGAACATTCGGAGGTTAAAAGTATATTATTGATAGAATTTTAAGCCCTTTGGTTATGGTTTGATTTAATTACGTAACGTAGAATCAAGAATTTTAACCTTAATGTGTTTTGATCTAGATACTGACAATTGTGCTTTTACCAGTGTTTTAGATATGAAGATGGTAGTTCGTTATTAAATGAAAAACAAATGAATAAATACCACACGCGATCAGAACATTCATAAAAAAACATGATCTATAGGCACACTACTTGACTTTGCGTACAATAGAGAATTATTAGCATAACTTGCTCTATTTTAAGTAGTAATCAATCATTTATACAAGTAGATACGTAGCGTTATTGTCATGTAAACACTACATTTAACTGGATTTTGTACAACTACATTATAAATTCAAAAGTAATTGAACTAGAAACTATAATCTAAGTGAAAGAAATTGATTACGTAACGACGCTATAATTAGACCAATTAAAGATGTACACCGAGTGAGTAACAACGCAGGAATCCGATACAGAAAACCTAGTAAATACAACAGATATATGCATATTAAACGCGTGCAAATAACAATAAAACACTCACTGTCCATGTCGAACGAACCGTAATCAGCTTAAAACGAGGAGAGACTACGCGATAAGATAAGTGCCCCAAATAACTTAAAATAGTTGGTAATATACGTCTAATTAAGGATTGTAGGTGCAGTGAAATAAAAAAACTCACCAGCCATAAAGTTCAAGGTTCGGTATGGAAATAATGATGTGGAATCGATAGAAATCGTTGTTGTGTCGTCTGTGCGAGCGTTCAAAGTGGGAGTAAGCCACACTCCGTGCCGTGATAGGGTTGCCAATCAATATTTTTCAAGGCATTCGATTGCGCTACACGTGTCTTCGGATTGACCGATAAAGACTTCAAGGGTTACCCAACAGACGTAGGTGGTATTATGTTTTACTCAAATTTTATTAATCTACTTGATTAAGTAAAAAGTTACTCAAACTATTTTACTACCGTTTAATAACTTACAAAAGTTTCGCACAAAAACGAAACGATGACAGGGACAAGCTCAATTGGTTAGAGCGACAGCACGAACCAATGTGGGTTGAAGATTCACATCTTGTCCGTGTCCTCAAATTTATTCAGTCATGTGGAAAATACGAAAGTTTTTAAACGATACTCCAATTACAGTACATTAAAACTCGTACAAAGTGCCGAAACTATTTTTTTTTTCGAAGGATTAGAAGTGCCACTTGCCTTACCATATCTTAAAAGATGAACGGGCACAGAAGAAAACTACACGCCTTCACCATACTAGTATAGATGGAATACCTATGAACTTGGCTTATTTCTTTCTTGGTCTGAGTGGATCAAAACAACACAGGTAGAAAATTCTGTTTTACGTGTAAGTACATCTACTTTACAGAACAACTATTGATAAACCAACGCCTAAATATCTAGCCTATATCTTACGCAAGCTGAGCTTTTGTGGTTAAAAAAGCGAAAATCACTAGCTGGTTCTTCTGGAAGATTGAGAGTATTCACAATTTTCGTAATCGCGTAGAAAGCTTTTGACATCCTTATTCGTACACATACACTAGTGTATCGTCCGCTCGTGTTTACAAACACCACCGCATCGCGAACAGAACAATGTCATTATTCAATACTCGTGTTTTTGCGCGACATTTTAGCCTACGTTACATTCAACAATATCTTTATTCTAATTAGCTAAAGATGAAGATAAGATGTGGAAGACATACTGTTATAGATTACGTATAAATGAATTAAAACTAGTAGATCTGGTTAAAATCTGACTGACTTCTGAATTGACTTTTTTTATTATTGCGTCTTTTAATGGAAACGGATACCTTGTTTTTATTAAATGAGGCCCGCCACTGTACACGTAGAATTAAAACATATTGTTTATGAAGTGCTTTTGTGGCTTTGAAAAGGTATATAATGTTTCACTAAGAAAATATTGAACACGATTAAGTCGATTAAAATAGAAAAAAACATTTCAATGGAATTGTAATTATAAAACATATGACAGTGCTCAATATGGCAGTGGTCACGGGGAGACCACGGCTGCTGCAAGGCATCCGAAACGTCGGGCCGAAGTTAAAAATCATTTTCAAATAAGTTTAACTAATATATCGCGTTTTAAACCGTTAAAGTGTTTTATTTAAAAGTGCTCATTATCACAATAAAAGTTTATCATACAAAATATTTAACTGTTAAGAGCAAAATAATAACACACACATTAAAATGTATCAAGTGATTATGCCCAGGTTAACAAATTTAAAGAGAAGCCAGAGAACATTACGTAAAAATTAGTTCACAACCTAAATTATTTTTATCATGGTAACCTTAAACACTGTCTATAGTTTACGCAAGTACTACACATTAAATAAAACACTTTAAAACATTTATTTTCAAATATGTTTAACTAATATAATATATTGCGTTTTAAACCGTTAAAGAATTTTATTTAAACAGTAATCTTTCCAGCTATTTTTTAAGGTTATTGTTATATATATGGCAGTCTATAGGTGGGTAGCATTGTATGATCTGTAATTGTTATTGATTGAATAAACTAAACACTTTGCTTTTGACTCAACAAGATGGTGTATCTTTTAATTATTATGAAGTTTCAGTATACAAACGAATTCTATGTAACTAATGACATACTCATAATAAAAAAATGGTTGAGCCACATAAATAAGGGTTGTCTTTCTCTACATTATTTATGCTGGTATGTGTTAATTATGTACTTACTTGTTGCAATTCCCATATCAGTAACTTTAAGTTGTCCCTGCTTTATCATAGCTTCATAATTGGGTTTTATATTATTCAGCTCCATATTAAATAAGCCATACATTGGGCCTTGACTCGGGTCTTCCTCGTAGGTAAACATAACTTGGATATCTTTTATAAGTGCCCTTTGGACCGTAGCGTACCAAGACTGTGTTACCCTAAAAAAATTGGACATTAGTATTAGTAAGTAGCTTGATTAAATTGAAAACTGAAGATGTGATAATAGTCAGGAGTGGGCTAAAAGAGGCCATCTACTAGCCTTAAAAATGGTTCAAGATGCAGATAGCTTCTTACTTATTTTAATACGATTGTTATACTTACTATATTATTGCACATAAGAAGATGTTATTCAAACAATTTTAATTTATCAATATTTCAGAAGCTGTCAAATCTACAACCATTAAAATATAGACTAATCACTTTTTATTTACAATCAGCAATAATCATTCTTAATAGCTAACAGTAGTATACAGACTATAGCAGAAACAGAAGATATATATATTTTTTGTAAATAGTACAACATATATTACCTCCTTGGCATAGTAGTCATAGCTTCCCAGTATTGGTCGATGTAAGGAATAATTTCTTTATCTTTACTAAACAATGCTTTGTTGCTTCCATCTTTTGCACTCTCTTGTCGTAGGTTGGCAATCGCAGTGAGACACATTTGAGGAAATGCTGTAAAGGATGACTGGTATCAATACCAACTAATAAATTAAACTACAGTGTGTAGACTTCTAAAGGATAGACACTCACGAGCTTGGTTCTTCTTGAACGTTTCCAGCCCAGTTGGTGAACAATTTTTGCAAATGAACAAATAGTTGGTCATAAAGGGCACAAGCTTTCCTAGTTGGTATCCAATACATGACTCGTGGAACCACCTGTTGCAAGAAGCGCAGAGGAGCTCAACAATGTTGAGATTCCGGTCTTTGCCGCTGTAAAGAGGTTATAATTAAGAACAATATAACATTTGCAAACTGGCCACTATTTTTTTTTTTACGAAGAAACTTTTCTGTGCAACATACCAGTAACAGTTTCCCTGAGTATCAATCGAGTTTTTATGTTTATTTTTATCGAGATTTTCCCCCGTTTTTTGAGATTCCATTGTCTGAGAGTTATATGAATCCATTGAGTAGCTTTTGTCGAAACAAGTGGGCATACGTTCCAAATGTGTAATTCTCCCTTTATAACAATGTATATAAGGAGGATTCTACATTTCTATGAAAGTGGAATTTTACAGTAGAATCATAGAATGATTGTAAACGCAAAAACGATTACAAATGTAAATAATTGTTACTAATGATACAGATAAAAATTGATAGCGACTTTGACAGATCTATGAAGGATTATAATAGAGTGCAGAAGGTTTAAAAATGGAGCAAATCAATAAACAAAACAATGTGAGCACGATTTATTAATTACCACGATTATTTATTAGTAAGTAATATATAACATATGACAAAAGAAATTACAAAGCCAATAAACCATTTTTTTATAAGGCTACTTGTCTATGGCTGTGGCTAAACTCGAATTTCAAAAAGTCTTCAAACGGATTTGTAAACATTGACATTTTTTCGCATTGAAATGAAAACTATTCTTCTTTAATACATAATTTAATATTGGCTGGTGTTTCTGAAAGTGAAGTAAAAGATGGATACAGTTACGAGTACAGATGATTTGAATGTTGAAACTAAATCTATTCAGGAAAACATACTTTTAGAGATAATAAAGGAAGTTTGCTGCGTTTCTGACAGCAAATTATCACCTAAATTGGTTGGTAAAGTTAATAGAATCATCGCTGACTGCAACCTTACTCACCACTCTAGTTTGCACAAGTTTGCCGCAGGAGATGAGAGTACAGCGACAGTTTTAGGTAGCTAAGCTATTCAATTTCTTTCATTTTGTTTACGATAAGCTTTCCCTGCTTTGGCAATCTTTTAAAGAATGTTTAACTCAATATTTAATATCAACACAAAGTATATCATAAACTGCTATACTGAAATGCTGTGCATTACCACTACCTTAAGAGAAAATCTTTTCATTTAAATATACTCTGGTTGAATTATGAAAAAAATATATAAGTAGCCTATATTCTATATTACTTCTATTTTATTCAGGTTTTGTGAACCAAACATCATCTGAATTGACTTTTGATGAGCAAGGAGAATTAAATGATGCTATTCTAAATAAAATACAAACAAAATTACCCAAGTACATAGCTCAATTAGAGCAACTTCAAAAATCGTCTGGAGACAAAATTTCTCATAAACAAGAAATACAAGAGCTACAAAAGAGTCTAGATGAAAAGCTCAATGTCCTAAGGGAGCAAGAAAATGAAAAGGTGGACTTGATGATGGAATGGTTAAATCACAAGCTGAATCATGTATCCACATTCACCAATAACACAACAGAGCTTTTGACAGTGAAAACTAAAATATTAGAAGTGAAATCAAGGTAAGTTTTATCTTAAGCAGTAACATACTTCCACAGATAAATTATAACACTTGTATTGTGATATGTGCAAAATGTTCTGGGTTCACCCTGTAAACAAACATAATAATGTATGTTGTTCCAGGTGAGCTCAGTTGCTTCTATATAAAATAGAACAAGAATTTAAAAAAAATTGCTTAAATGCTTACTTTAAATTGTGAAATGAGTATGAGTGAGTGTAATATAGTTTTGATCAAGAGACAATATTATTTGATTAGGGAGTGTTTTAGCAAGTTAATATTAAATTAAAAAGCTTCTTTACATTTTCCAGAATCATGCATCTAAATATCTTACAAAACATTTATACTGAAACAAATGAATCTATCAAAGCTTACACAGAGGTACACAAAGATTTAAAGGAAAGTATAAAAGAAACCGAACAAAGGATTAAAAATTACAAGAAAATTATTGAAAATAATTAAATTTAGCGAATGATAATTTATTTTAATTGAAAATATAATATGTTTGTTTTGACATGATATTTTACTACTCTTCACCATATTTATCCTTATAACAGATTCTAGGATGTACATGTTAGTAATTTCTTTGTTTTCAAAATTACATTTTCCTTTACACTGAATAATGTTTTTTTTTATCAATATTATTAGCATGATAATTTTGCCTCTTTTCTCCAAATGCACAGTATCTTATAAAGTTAAAATTAGCCTTTTTTTAGTATTATTATGGATAATAATAACTTATGGAAAATGTTATGTTGAGACTTTTCCTGACTTAATGGTTCCTAGATATTTTCTGGGCCAGAACCACCCTTGGATTTTAAGACATCTCAAAATGTCTGCTAAATTGATTTTGCCAGAATTTGCAAAATCGGTTAAGCCATTCTTGAGAATTAGTCTTACCATTTCTTTTTATTTATATAATATGTACTTTAATATTGTAACAATTTTGATTGTACAAAAACAAATATTATATGGCTTTTGTAACTCCTAACGGCATAAACAATCAAGTGACTGGTTTGCCTTGATCTCACATTGATGTTATGAGTAAAAACATTTTTTAGTAATTGTTTTATATGCCTTTAGTGTGTATAATGTAAGAATGGTTTATTACTATGAAAATAGCTTATAATTTTTATTGACTACTTAAAGGGTTTAATATCACTGTAAAATTCAATTTTCCCCTATGGGACATGGGACAGACACATTTTTTTACAGATTGATTTATTTACACGCAAGTAGGTACATAGTTGGACAAATCTTTGTGCTCTTGTAGATGTGTCTTGTGTTTTACTTTTCAACAAGTTATGTAAATCTTTTGGTACTATAACAGAAACACTAAAAACAATACTGTCTGTAGTTGACGCGAATAGTACACATTTAAATAAAACACTTTTACGGTCTAAAACGAGGTGTTTATTAGGTAAACTTATTTATAAATTATCTTAACTGCGGTTTAACTAATATACATCGGGTTTTAAACCGTTAAATTGTTTTATTTAAATACTAAAAATAAAGTGAATAAATGTTTGAGGCTTATGTACACCAAATGCAAAATCTTTGCCCTTTTTTATATATAATAATGGCACCATTGACATTTAAATATTCACAAAATGTTCACTTTATTAGTATATAATAATAACAGGAAGGCTTCTGTACAAAAATTAGGTTTTCGCCTATTTTGTTTAAATAAAAAACGTCCGCTTCGCGCTGGGTTAGTTTATAACATTTTCAAATTTCTTTGTTTGAGGGTATTTCATTATTTTAGCACATCTACCTACACCACAGGTTCGACAAAGCGTATTGTTCCTAACGTGAGTCAAGCAATCAAAGGTGAGGTTGGGAACTTTGTCTCAACAAAGTGGTAGGGCCTAAGTCCTAAGCATTAAATGCCTCGTACGATCAACATTGAGATAAGAAGATTAGTTGCATGTGAATGTCGGTGCTATGTGATCGTGTTTCACGATGATGTTATCTACGTTTTGGAATATCTTCATGTGAGTATTTTTTCTTACAGTATTACTCACTGTATCATTAGAAATTACATATATGGGAAATATCTTTTTAAATGCATAAAAGTTATCTTAACACATTTTTATAATTGTAATAACATTATTTATAACTTAAGATAATCGAACTGCAGTTGCAATTTTAAGTATTAAATACTGTCTATAGTTTACGCGAGTAGTACACATTTAAATAAAAACACTTTAACGGTTTAAAACGCGATATATTAGTTAAACTTATTTGAAAATTATTTTTAACTTCGGCCCGACGTTTCGGATGCTTTGCAGTTGCAGCCGGGGTTAGGGGGGAAACCCCCGGACCACGGCAAAGTAATATTTAAGTATTACTTATTTCATTTTATGTAAAATAATGTTGATAATCAAGCTTTACTAAAATACGTAACGTGACGAATATTAACTATATATACTTACGTACAATCTAACTTTACACAATGTTAAATTTGAAGTTAAGTGAATAAAATAATTCAATCGCTTTTTTATAAATAAATAACCTCATAATCAAGAAATGGGTAGTCAAGGGAACTCAGAACATTTAAATTTTGCAAGTGCTTAGGTATATATACAGACATACAGTGATTACGATATAGCAAGCCTATTTGGTAGATAATATTCAAATTTGTTATTTACCATAGAAACAAATACTAGACACCACAATATTTGTCAGATTTTCATAGGTACCTACCATATTATATCCAAAGCTTTGTTTATTTAATTGCTTGAGATCTGCCCCACTTCATAAGTCAACAATCGGGGTCATTCTCATAATATGTTCATTCCCCCTTTTTAATCTGTCTCTGGGATGAGGATGTTCCATTATTAGTAACACCTGGTGATGCATACTAATTTAAACGTTGCCTATCTTATATATTACTGGGTATTTATGTAATGTGTGTAACTTTATAAACGTAAATAAAATTGGCTATGGCGATTACATATACATAGCTTGTCTGGCTCATGGTTTCAATTACTACCAGATTCAACAAATATTTTTTTTCTGATTCATGTTCGTCTTGAAAATGTAGATCAAAACTTGGAGGTACTAATATTGGCATTCCGTCAGTAACCTATTCTATAGATCAAGAAGCCGTAAAATTTTATCGCATTTAGGTTTTAGTGTGTGCATTCCGAATGTTTCAAGCTGAAATAAGTCCATAACGCATCTTATTTAACTATCCATCGAGTAAACTTTTTTCATAAAATACTTACAGTCAGACATGTATGTAGGTCTTAAAATTATATGTATCCTACCCTAATCACATATTTATATTTACTAAGTGCCTAATGGAAACATTCAAGTTAATCAGGCTAAAATAGTTTGATTACCATACGTTTATCAGTCAATAAACTTTGTTTAAGCGTAGATTTACTTAACATTTATTGATAAGGAACCATACAATTTTAAATTAGAAATTCCCTAATGTTTAAATGTGTCTGTTTAAAAAAAAATAGTTTTCGTTTGTTATAAGATAAAAGGACAGAAAATCGATAATCTAACAAAAATTTAGAGAAGAAAAGCAACACATTTGATGGCAATTGCATGTCACAATCAAGCAAAAAGCAAACATTAACCTTATATTCTAGGCATATGTTACTCATTTGTCGTAGTAACACAATATTTAACGAGTTAAAAGTTTTTGACCTCTGACCTCGAAATAAGATTAGATCTTTTTTGCATGTATCATCCTGGCTGGATGTACTATAAAGATAAAAGCAATTTAGATTTCTAGTCATGTATAAATGGTATTATTTGACGGGCTCGTCGGTCTAATGGTAGCAATGTAGAGCTAATAATCGAAGGTTGTGCGTTCGCTTCCCACCTGGTCCAACGTGTTTCAAATTTTTCAATTTATAAATTTTCTAAAATATGTTGGACTTCGTTTGGAGGTCTGAATGTTAAATGGTCTGTCAACCGTCCACAGATGAAAAACCCGTGTAGTTTAATCGCATTTCGGTTTCAGTCTGTGGATTTGAAAATAGGGCGACAGCGTATCTTGGCTTGGGTATTTCAGCTCCCCTCAAGTAAACCGCATGCTTGTGTGTCCTCCTCTATGATAAAAAAATATCTTCAAAGCAGTCATCATTTATTCTTACAGACGCTTATCGGGCGCTCTTGGAGTAGAATGGGCACCTCTCAACCTCCCTCTTTCGCGTCGTCTGCAAACCTTAGCTGCTACTGGATGGATTTGCCTCGTGCTGTTCAGCGAAGCGATAGCAATACTGCTCTTCATAAAACTGATCTACTCGTCCTATTGGTATTTGGCGATCGTTTACGCTGTTTGGATGTTGAATGATATCGATGTGTGCCATAAAGGAGGTCGGACGTAAGTTTTTTTTTAATTTACCAACCAATATGTTACGTTAATTTAGTATTGTTTGTAATCTAGAAGAGACTAGTCACAGATTTGCCCTACTGGGGTGACTAGGACTCTACCTTTTTAATTTTATTAAAAGACTAACTAGAAATACTGCTTATTGCTGAATTGTTGAATTCGTTGTCTTGTAATGCGTTTTTTGTTAGTTTCTGGGTTCAAATCCCGGGAAACATCTTACTAGTTTTGGTCATGTAGGGCATAATCTGATCAACTGCCTGTAAACTAGACGCAACAGATCAAAGAAATAAGCATTTTTGTCTAATTATCTTATCTTGTCTTGTACTGACAGAATCGTTTTTAAATTGTTCCATATTCTGGCATAAGTACAATAACAATTCAAAGTTTTTTTTTTACCGTACCATATGTGCCTTATGCACAAATACTGAAGTTAAAATAATGTCGCCGGCATTGTTTTCACGCAAGCGTGGAAATAAGTTTTCGCACACGTTGAAAATATAAATCACATGATGGCTTTGATATGCGAAATAAAATTACCAATCGCATTTTTTAAAGAGTGGTATACTTAAGTATGTACTTTGGTACTACCTTTTTCTTATACTAAATACTTGTCGTTAGAGGAATCGATGTTAGTACCGTTTAAACATTAATTAATTAAGTACAAAGGAATATCATCAACCTTTAAACATTCCAGAATCCAGTGGGTGCGGAACTGGGCGTGGTGGCGATACTATAGGGACTATTTTCCCATCAAATTGGTTAAAAAGGTGGACCTGGACCCCACGAGAAACTACCTCTTCGCCTGCTTCCCCCACGGCGTTGTATGCTCCGGGGCATTTGGAGCATTCGCCACGAACGCTCTCGACTTTCACAAAGTGTTTCCTGGGTTCACGTGTCATATGATAACGTTGGCTGGTCATTTCGTAGTGCCATTGTTCCGGGATTTATTACTTGCGTTTGGGACCTGTGCATCCTCCAGGGAAAGTTTGGAATACCTGCTGGACAGGAAGCGCCATCAGGGAAAGTGTGTTTGCTTGATAGTGGGGGGCGCTGCTGAAGCTCTAGACTCGCATCCTGGAGAATATAAAGTTATATTGACTAGGCGTAAAGGATTCATTCGTGTGGCTATGAAATCTGGGTAAGGATATATGCAAGTCGTATATATAAGATATAATGTAGTCGTTTTGTCACGGTGACTGTTTCATAACTCTGGTCAAGTCCGTGAATATGTACGGAGGTGCGCGCATTTTACGACGTGACAATTGGGTGACATTTGTGTACGCCGACCAGCGAACAAGCCCGTGATGAAACTGCCAGCGCCATTACCAGCTTTCATAGCAATGCGCGCGTTGGCGACAAAATTGTCACTCTCGTCGTCGGTTGATACTTAATAGGTAAACATTCGCAAAGACGATATTGATAATGATGGTCTAGTAGAAAAAGTGGAAAAGAGTCCAGCTCTTTATGCTAAAACATTGAAAGAGTATTCAGATATTCACGTGAAAATTAAAGCATGGGAAGAAATTAGTAGAACATTATTTTCCAATGCTTCGGGTAACTTGTCGCTCTACGCAAACCGTTTTTAACTTAAGACTCTGTAATCTATAGCATTCTTATTAATTATTATTATTAGAAAACGTTTTTATAATAATAAAAGATTAAATTATTATTATAAATAAGAAGTATTTATTTGTTACTTCGTATTTTCTTATATTCAGGTCCTAAAGTGCGTACTAATTCATGAAAGCGCTCATTCGGAAATATCTAAAAAAATCCTTAGGATGTTCTCAAAGTTTATAATACTTCTACGTAGAACTTTCCACGTAGAAGCCTGTCACTTCAAAGTACCAGTACCCAGTATTCTCTTCACATTTTTTTTTCTCAAGTCTCAAGAGTTCACAGAGAACGACCGTCTCTTCGTAATCCATAGTGGCAAATGGCACTTTGGATTTCGAAAACGTTTGACGTGCGCGCACTCCACTTTGGAAATGACGTGACAAAGACAAAAACTTTAAATTCATCGTGACAAAAGTCACCAGTGCGCGCTAGCCCTTACGCATCTTTACAATCGCGCACGTGTTTGATTGGACATGACTGTACTCGAAAAAGACAACACGACTGAGAAACCAAGCAACGCATGACGTTCACTCGCCCCGCGCCTGCTTCTGCGCAAAAAATCCGTGCCGCTACTTATACAATCGGCTTGCCGGATTATCCCCGAAAACATTCCTTTGAGAGTTACATGACTTGCAGATTTGATCTTTAATTATATTTAAATAAAACACTTTAGCGGTTTAAAAATTTTGTATTTTTTTATATAACTTTTTGATGTATGTGCTGATGGTACTGGCAGTGGATTAAAGGGCTCACGATGTTGATTTCAGAGCGCCCTTAGTTCCGGTATTTTCGTTTGGCGAGACTGACGTGTTCCGTCCTCCGCATAACCCTCAAGACAGCTTCTTGCGCAAATTTCAAGAGAAGGTGCGTCAGATCACCGGAATCTCCCCAATGTTTCCGATCGGCAGAGGTCTGTTCCAGTACTCGTATGGTGTACTGCCCCTGCGGTCTCCTATCACGACAGTTGGTAAGAAAAAAAACATAGTTTTTTTATCTAAAATGCTTAATTAGTACTGTATACGTTCAGACGGCGGCCATCTTAGATGTACCGCCATCTTGTTCATCACAAGCCACAACCCGGAGAAGAAAAGTTTTAGAAATAGATCGACAGCCCATCTTGTATAGATGTTATGTGGTAGGGTTATTTCACCTTTTATCAAGAGAACCCAAACTTGTTGGTTCTGGTGATTAATAATTTTACTGTTGGTTTTCTTGTTCCTGGTTAAGTCGTATCATTGTAAAGGCATTATTTGTCAATACTATACTTTAATTTAAACAGTACCCACAAATCTCTTAATGACTTTGGACGACAGGCATTACTATAGATAAAACTAATCGTTGTACTTCGATATTATTTCGTCAGTTACATTATCGCTCATGTTATCATTTTTAACGATAGTTTAATCTTAGAGTTAAGTAAACATAGCTAATGTAAAAGTAAATTTCACTATACTATATGTATACGTTATTATTTGATTGTTATTTTGCATACTTTTTTCAGCCTTTTCCTTGTTAGTTTATTATTTATTTATTATGCAAACATGTATAATTATGTTAGTTCTACTTGCTAGGGTAAGTCGATTTTAAAACCTGACAAATAGCCAATGAAACTAGATGGCTTTTAAAATATTTGTTGAACTAAAGCCTTTAACATTTCATTTGCAGTTGGAGAACCCTTAGAAGTCGAGAGAAACCCTGATCCCACTGATGAAGAGGTGAATGCCCTTCATGCAGAGTTCACCAAACGACTCATCGATCTTTTCGAAGCAGAGAAACCCAAGTATTTGAAAAACCATGAAAAAACACAACTAATTATAACATAGGACTAGTAAGTTTGTTGTAGTTAGTGCTTTAGTAAGAATTGAGATAAAATTTTTGATTGTCCGAATCTAAAACAAACTATCTTTCAAAAATTGTTCTCACATATTTTGATTATACTATGTGCAATAGTATGTATAGATTCTTAAATAGCAGTAATATATACTTCTTGGTCATAGAAGTTACCTGGTCTGTTCACATCTTGCTACGCCAAAAATGTACAGCACTTGAGTATGGTAGCCAAGGTCTAAAAGATACCGTTAAGAATCTTGCTTCAACTACAAGTCTTACACGCAGTCTGTAATAATTAAATTTGTTTTTTGAACGTTTTGTTTCTTCTGCCAACATTGCATGATGCACATTGATTTGTACCCACTTCTGTTCCTACAGAAAAATTGTTTTAAACATAGTTCCTAAGGGGATAACCGTTTGGTTATCGGCGATATCTCGCATTGTATTTTATAGGCACTAATAAATTAATTTATACCTTTGTAATCTTTGCATTTTTCTATCATTATACATTAAAGATATTATTCTATATCGCTTCAAAGGATAATACTTTAAAACTTGTAACTTTTATCGTTTGGTAACATCACTAGATATCCTTTATCCCACAGGAATACGACATCTTTATAATAAAAATGGTTTTAGTGATTGCCTCCAAACTTCTTAAAAATTCATTATGTTTTTAACATGGAAGAATACTTATTAGTCTTCATCGATTTTTTTTTGTTGAAATTTTCTAGAAAGCTTAGAATTAACGACTACGTAGTAAAAACGAAAACCCACAACATTTTACTATTTTTATTTAAGACGTTTTTATATTTACATTTATATACAACGTTTATATATTTTAAATGTGTGATGCGAGTTCTTTTGAGCATTCCGCGAAATCACCAAGATAACTTAAATTATATTAATAACATCGAAACATTTCGTTCAAGTAAACAAAAAATACAAGGCCATACTAAGTATATGCTGGAACGGCTATTAAAATACCTCAATTTACCACAACAATTACTTATAATATATTCCAATATGTGACAGTCATGTAAAATTAAAACATAGTAGCTAAATCCGTTTAATTCCAGGCGTTTGTAAGTCTTGTTTGATTGAACGATTAGACACAAAACTCAGTTTGCAATATCTGATACAAATAATTCTGACGACCACTTATTCCTAAATTACACTAATTCGATAACTCTACGGTACATTGGCACACTGAGTCTTGTACTTAGAATAGAAGAGCGGGAATGATAGAAAATAGGTGGGCATGTTGCTAAGTTATCTTTTCGGGGAACTTAGTACGAGTTTTGAAGTCGTTATTGATGTTTTAAATTTTATTAGAAATTGTTACCTATATCAATGTAGGTAGTGACATCGAATAAAGTTCTATAAAACTACAAAAAAATCAACATAGAGAACGATTACGATAAGATTTCTTCAATATCGACTTTCCAAAGGTTGGCCACAAAGATACACGTATCAAATTATTGGAAATATGAATACCTGTTTTTACATGGTTATACTTAGCCATAAAGAGTAAAATTATGTGCGGCACGCCTTATAGAAATCGCTAGGAACTCGTAATATGTATTCCGCTTCGTAAATTCGATAACGAAGCAATATGCGGGCGTTCTATCTAAAGTCCCACCCGTAAACTAAGAACAGGGAAAGATTTTTTACAATTTTCACCCACTAAAACTTTATGACAATATACGGTATATTGCTATAAAAAAATCAGTAGGCGTTTCTAAACATTCTAAATCAAGAGTGATTTTCCAATCAATATTTAAAACGCTGGAAAAAAGACGAAATAATTAATAACAAATTATTGTGAATATCACCCCACAACATGTATATTAGAGATTTTTTTTACAAACAATACAATAATTATAACTGAAAATAGCACGACAAAATCATTTAACAGATTATTAAACAGTAAAAATTGTCTTTCCAAACATGATATCATTTTATAATCTCAACGCATCACTGGTTAAAAATATCCAATAAAAAATTAAATTATTACGAAGTAACCAAAACTAGACTTTTAATAGTATTTAAGGATTCGTACTCTATGCACAGTTAAATGATTTTAACTGTTCTAGAATTATTAGATTGTTGATCGCTGGCGGAGTTAATCTGAACATTCAGTCTGATTTTCATTACAAAAAGGCAGAGCTTTCTCACATCAAAGACGGATACTGCAATTTCTAAAGAAGTTAGATTTATTTTGTCTTTTTTAGTTCTATATTGAATGATATGGAGCCGTCTCCATATTTCATTCGTTCACGTGAATGTTCAGCATCAGTGGACCTTTTGTAAGATCCGTTGATAAAAGCCGTAGCTGTTAAAGTGATTCTCATGCTTGCTTAGGGTGTTGGGTAGTCGTCGCCGGCGCAGGCTTGAAACATTGCAGAAGGAACGCTGTGTACATCACGAATGCTATCGAAAGCGCTATTAAAGCATACATAAATATGTTTAGTTCTGGTTGTCGGAATCTATTCTTCCGCAGCCATTCCAGAACTTCGTCTTCCGCCATTACATCGCCTAGAAATAATTGGTTAACTTAGTATAATAGTTACTCAAAAAAGATAAGAGATTTTTGCTTAAATTTGTTCTATTAGTCTTTCCGACATAAGTTCTTAATATGTTCCTTTATGAACTAACCTCTGTAAATACTTGGAAATCGTTTCCTGAAGTAAACGATCGCAGGTAGTTTTGTAACCCCCCACTTACGGGCGTAGCGGGGATCGTGCATCTTTACAAATGTAATATCTAAGTTGTCCGTCTCGCTGTCAATATTTTCCAATTTATCCAGAACTATTCGGCTCTCCGCTGAGTTTTCATCTAGAAACAGTCACAAGTTAAAATATTTTGCCCATATTAAGATAAGATAAGAGTTTGCTAGATAACTTACAGAAATAAACAGCCAAGAACTCATTCTCTTCTAAGAGTTTGTCCAACATCTTTCGGTTAACCTCTTCAATTTCGTTTTTGATTTCAAAAACCTCTTGAGATGTTAGCCATTGTAAGACTCTGTCTACTTGATGTAAATCACCATCGTAAGGCATCGGCACTCGTTTACGGAAATAGACTAAAGACGGTATGTTTATAATGTTGTACTGTGCTGCCGCTTCAGGACTAGCTATTTTGACAAAATCGATTCCAAATTGGTCTACCTCTCCGTCAATTTGTTCCAATGCTTCGAGGATCTCTTGACATTCTGGGCAATCTTCATCGTCATCTAAAAATTAACAATTATTATAAATTAATATAATACTTAAATACTGTCTATAGTTTACGCGAGTAGTACACATTTAAATAAAACACTAACGGTTTAAAACGCGATATATTAGTTAACCGACGATTAGTTATCCGATTCGATCCGATTAGTTATCCGACGTTAAAAATCATTTTCAAATAAGTTTAACTAATATATCGCGTTTTAAACCGTTAAAGTGTTTTATTTAAATAATATAATACTTATCTGTATTAACGCCTTATTATTATTTTTTACTTACAGAAGAACACTGCAAGTAAATGGGATTCAAACAACAATCTCTCCAACATTCTATCGTTAACAGATTCTATTTCATCAGCTAATTCGCGATTTTCATCATCAATGAGCCATTCTAAGATAGATTCCTCATTTTGTAAATCGCCTTCAAATAATAGCGGATTGCCATTTCTGTAATAAAAAAAATATAATTATTTTAAAACTTGCTTAACATCGATAAATATACTTATGTTACATATACGTATAAATCAAACTGAATTGTAACTTAATAACTACAGCAACTTAACTAACTTGCTGATCTAAATCTAAAGTATTATTACAATAATAACAATCAAAAGTTGATACAAGTATAGCTTGCTTAGAATAATAGAACCCAGAAAGTATCAATGAAAACTGTACCTAAAGTATACCATTGCTGGGAAGGTCTTAATAGAATATCTTTTAGCAAGTTGAGGATCTTGAATTTTCACCATGTGGATACCGTATACGTCACATTCGTCGTCAATTTTTTCAAGCTCCTCTAGTATATGGTCACAAATATGGCAGTTAAGCTTATCTAAAACAAAAATGATCATGAAAGTATCCCGTTATCATCTTATTTATTATTGTTGTATTTCGTTAAACAAGGCTTACAGAAATAAACAGCTAGGTACTGCGTTTCATCCACCATTTTCTCCAACATCACCCTAGTTATAAGTTCTATACGATCTTCAGTTTTCTGCGTTATGAGCCATTGAAGCACTTCTTCTTCTTCAGCCAGGGAACCTTCGTAAACGTTCGGAATATTGTTTTCGAAATAAACGAGGACTGGGAAGTCAGTAGCGCCATATGACTCAGCTATAGCGTAATCTTGCGTCTTGACAAATTTTATTCCATGTCTATCGCAATCATCGTCTATATTCTCTAATTCTTCTAAAATACCAGTGCATTGCTCGCAATCCAAGGAATCTGAAAGTGATTTCCAATTAGAATTCTATAATTTTTAATTTATTTTTGATTTAGGGACAAATAACATAACACACTAGTGTACATTCAGACAGGGAGCGTTTTATAAAGAGGTGCATATCAATGGAAACACGATGTTTCTATATACATGAATATATAGGACGGGTACATAACAGAGTCGTAGATCTATATAAAACGGACACAATGATGTGCATCGAATGACATGCTACATGCTTGATGCAAGATATTCCTTTATCTATGGGGTAGATCAAGGTACAGGGGTCACATATAAACATGTTTCAATGTTTTGCCGTCATAAGAGTACCCTCTAGTTCCTGTAATTCAGCGTCTTCAGGTTCTTTAAATTTCTTTTTGGTCGTTTTTGCTGTAGCTTTTGCATGGCAGAGTTCACATAATGTTTTGTTCCCTATTAAGAATTAAACATCATTATCAAACTTTAAACAAACAATTTCACGTTAACCAGCTGCTGAAGAAGTGAGTAGTTTTTTATGTACACCTTTGATTTGTCAGCCAGCTTTATATCATTCGTGACCAAAACAATGAAGAAGGGTTTAACTGTCCACGGTAAAATATTCGCCCACTATATAGTACTATTCTATTGAACTTACAGAAATAAACAGCTATAGATGGAGCTTCTTCAATAACATCAAGTAGTTCTTGACCTTCCAGTGCTTCTATAACGTCTCCTGCTGGATTTTTTTGTACCAGAAGCCAACTTAATAGCTGTTGTTCATCGTATAAGTCACCTAAAAGTATATTTGCGTTAATATCTTTAAGTTTATACTATAAAGTTTAATTCCATCTATCAACAAAATGCAATTTACCAGCGTATATGACAGGATCCTTGGAGCCCATTTTGAAGAAAAGTACCGCAGGCAATGCAAAAACTCCAAACTCTTTGGCCATTTGTCGGTCATCAATCTTTACAAAATTTATCCCAGCTCCATCCGCATCATCGTCTATGTGCTCAATCTCAGCCAAAACTCGGGGACACTGTTTGCAGTCATTACTGTCTAAAACATGTAATATATGCAATACCAACTAATTTATTTATTGATTTGATCCAAAAACTTTCACACACAAAACAACAATAATAATAATATAGGCCAAAATAAATATTAACTCTATATATGTTCTTCTACTAGAATCTAGATTTCTTTCTGAAACACCTTTTGAACTACAGCAAAGGAATAAATCAATAACTCACAAAAGAACACAGCAACGTAATCTGACGTCTGCCTTATTTTCTGAAACATTTTGCGATTCACTTTCTCAATGTGATCTGTTAACTCCATGTTTTCTGGATTGGTCAACCAATCTAGTATCTCCTCCTCGTCGTCCATGTCACCGTCGTAGTTGATAGGCTTTGTTTTACGGAAGTACGTGATGCCGGGCGGATTTCGAAAACCGTACTTCTTGGCCATAAGGCGATCGCTGCACTTGACAATCTTTATACCATATTCTGATGCTTCGTCATCTATAAGCTCGACGTGTCTTAAAATTCGTGGACTTCCTGGATCTTCTTCTTTATCTAAAAGAGATAAAAAATTAATTAGCGAACAATTAAAATAAGTTTGTATTGAGGCTATCGATACTCACAGAAAACGACTGCTAAAAACTCCTTAGTTTCAATATACTTGAACAGTGTATCTCTATCGATTTCTTCGATGCTTTCGTCTTCCTTTTGTTTGACCATCCATTCTAGAACTTCGTTTTCATCGAATAGATTCCCTAAAATATTTTTGATGTTAGCAAAACGTAGAGTCCCTATCAAAAAATATATAAAGCAAAGAAACCACATCCATTTTGAATATTTTAAAAACTCACCATGTACATCCAATGATCGACATGCGTGGATAACTATTACAATACCATGCTGACATCATTCGTGTGATTTAATAATAAAATATGGTATTAATAAAAATGTATTTATTTAACAAAAATATTGTACCAGCGCCTCAACAGACTCGACATAACGAATAAATAAATTAACAGTCATGCGTCGATCAAACAATACAACTTATTACTTTTTAAAAGCTATCGCCATTTATTTGTGATGATCGATCTTAGTTCTGTTTTTCAAATATACTTGAAGATCGGCAAATACAACAAAAAGTCGTACACAATTATTGTTAAGATAACATTTATTAATCTACTTGTATAAAATTGAGATGTTTGCTTATAATATATAATTAATAATATCTAGTTTTATGTTAAGTGGCGATATAGATTTTAAACTAAAACAACAAATATATTGTAAAAAGAATTAGTGTGCATTAAAAATAATGTGCTTAATGAGATTCCATGAAATCTAGAAAACTATGTATGAACATGAAATCCTTACATCGATAAGTCTTTCAAGATGGCAAAGTAAGAGTAGTTAAAATGCCTCTATATGTTGTTTCATCGTTAATTTCTAATATTGGAATAAAATTTACACTCAATATAACGATTTATACATCAACTTACGAAGTTCCCAATATCTCTATATTTTACAGAACATACGCTTGAAAATATTTGCTGTGGTCAAAGACATAATTTCGATTGTATTAAAACAGTGATTAAGTATGCCATGGTAGAGTGCATTGAAGTAACTATATTTATAAAACACCCTGCAAAGTGCAGCAGGACCAAGGGACACGTCACAGATTATTGTTAATGTAGCAGAGGTTGATGCAGCGTTAGATCCGGGTAACTAAGTTATAAAGTTTGGTGAGAATTTAAAATGCAATCGTGTCCACTTGATACGCGCGCGTCTCTAACGTCTTATGACATTCCCGCTAGTATTACCATCATTACCACCACCAAATGTTTTCAGAGTCGAATAAACCTTTCTTTCCTTTGCCCGCTTTTTCTGGTTTGGCCAGGGCCTTGTTCTTTCCCTTCGTAGGTCTCTCGGGCAAGACTTGTTTCTCCTTTCCGAGTTTCTTCGCCGGAACTTTGGTGGGCGTCGCCTTGGCTACCTTCGTTGGGCTTTGGACTTTAGTGGGACAGCACTGGTATGGTTCATATGTCACTTTAGGGACAGCCGGTTTCGCCCCCAATCCAATGTAGAAACAGCGATCGCCTGCAGTCAGTAAAAATTTATTGTTTATACCGGCAATATTGAGAACGGAGTTTTAGTTACTTGCGTTAATATTGTGCATATTTAAAATTAACTACGCGCGATGGAAGGGCGCGTTCTTAATCTTAAATGTTGTGTTAGTAATAAGAGAGATTTAAGAAAATTTTAATTGCCAAGCGTTCGCGAATGACTGCAGGCAACAGCTGGAGCGAGGACCCATGCGGGTTCTTATTTGACCATGCAGATGTGTAACTGGGGTACATCTGTGCCTTCCGTGCAGGGTACCTTCCTACTAAGTAATCTGTACTCAATTACCTGCAAACGAGCTTTCTATGCTATTGGAGTTACTGTCCTCATCGTCATCGTCATCATCGTCATCGTCATCATCGTCATCGTCATCATCACCGTCATCGTCATCATCGTCATTACTACCATCTTGATATCGTCGACGGGCTAATGATTTTAATTTATAAACTGATTTAGATAAGTTATCTTCATCGTCATCGTCACCGTCGTCGCTATCATCGTCGTCGTCACCATCATCGTCGTCGTCGCCATCATCGTCGTCGTCACCATCATCGTCGTCGTCGCCATCATCGTCATCATTGTCGTCGTCATCGTCATCGTCGCCTTCATCACCATCATCATCGTCATCGTCCCTATATTTAGTTGCAGTATTTTTATTTAAAATTATTTTTTTATTGGTTTTGTAAGTTACTTTAGATCTAGAACTGGTTTTTATTTTTTTTATAAATTTATCATCGTCGCTGTCATTATCATCATCGTCGTCGTCATCATCATCATCGTCACTACTGTGGGCATTTTTTATCTTGTTTCGAAGACTTTCTCGCTTGCCACCTTGAAGAAATTTGCTTGAAACGGCTCCTGGAAAAACCACCTTCATAGTTTCCATTTTTGTCCATATATACTTTAAATTGTTCATAATTTCTTTCTTTAAAGATTGGCGTTATACTTCGTTGAAACCCAGTTAAATAATTAACATCTGCATTGGCCTTTTGTAACAATTAACTTTGTTTATTGATCGATGAGTATCTTCACCTGCAGGCATTAGTAACTGTCATGCAAAATGACGCAGCTCAAACATCCAGCATATAAGGCGTACGATAAAAGATTTCTCTCAGATCTGATCTTAAGAATGATGTCATGCATGTAACATTTATTTTGTATCGTGTAACGTAAACTTTAATTATGACAAATAATAACGTACTAGTAGAGTTTTTAAAAATGGATGTAGGTTCTTACTTTTTTGATCTATTAGCCACTGGAGAACCTTATTTTCGTTCTTTAAGTCACCTATAAACAGATATAAAATTCTTATGTTCTGAAGTTTGGCTTATTTTTTTTTATTATTCTTATTTTAGAAACCTATGTGGAATTCTTAGTCTACAGACTTACCATCGTACATTATTGGTACTCCAGTCTCGTAGTAGACTAGTGCTGGAAAACTAAATATACCAATATCGGACGCTAACTTAGAATCTTTAGACTTTACAAACTGAATTCCATGTTTGTCTGTGTCATCATCAATGGTTTCTAATTCTTCCAAAATTTCATCACACGTATCACAATCATCATTATCTAAAAAAATATGTTTAAGTAAATGAACACAATCGAATTAAACAAACTGAAAAAATAACGTAGATAAATGTTGGTCCTCATTTCAAAGAATATTTTTTTATTTACTATGTTTGCAAAAATAGTAGAACAATATAATACTTACAAAAAAATACAGCTAAATGCTCAACATCGTTGATGAGGTCTTTTAAAGTTTTTCTATCTACATTTTCAATAACTTCTGGCTGTGAGTGCTGAAGATCTAAAACCCATTTTAAGATGGCTTCTTCGTGCATTAAGTCTCCGTCGTAAATTGTTCTAAATTTATGTCTATAGAAAGCTAAAGCTGGAAGTCCGGGTAAATCGTATTCCTTTTCCACGCCTTCGTCGGATGTTTTGATAAAGTCAATATTTTCTTCTTCACACTCGTCATCAATGTTTTCTAACTCGCTAAGAATCTTCTGTGACTTTTTATCACCTTCCTTATCTTAAAAAAATAATAGGTTTAAAATAAAAAAGGTTATATTATAATACATAAACTAATGATAACAAGAAGTAGAAAACCTACAAAAAAATACAACGACGTGGTCGTTTTCTTCTAAAATTTTTTCTAACATTCTCGAGTTGACTTCTTCAATCTTTCCAGGGATTTCAAGTGTATCTTCATCTGTGAGCCAAGCTAGTACTTCATCTTCATCCTCAATATCGCCTGGAAAACACAAGTTTAAATTTGTGATACTAAGAAAAATGATGAGGTAATGAGATAGTCGGAAAGAAAATATATTTACCCTTGTAGATAAGGGGTTCCTTGTTTCTGAAGAAAACTAGCGCGGGGAAAGTTTTAATTCCATACTTTTTAGCGAGAGACATATCTTCTGTTGTCACAAATATGATTCCAGTTTCATCTAATTCGTCATCAATATTTTCTAGTTCTTCTAAGATATTATCACATTCTTCACCTTCTTCACAGCTACCACCTGAACGGATATAATTGACAATACATAGACAAATAAAATTTAGTATCACAAATGTTAAATATATAGTTACAACCAGAAGTTTTTGTAATATAAAGTCCTATTATTTCGAAGTAAGTATCAAGTATCATAAATATAGGACCTAAAAGTAGTTATCTTGTATTTTACGTGAGTAGTGCACATTTAATTAAACACTTTTCGCGTATCAATAAAATAAATATAAATAAATTTACTTACTGAAATAGACAACTACATATTCGTGTTCTTCAATTAGATCTGTTAATATCTCGTCGGTAACTTCCTCAATTGTTGCACTATTCTTCTGTTCAATTAACCAAGCTAATACTTCATCTTCGTTCATCAGATCGCCTTCATATATAGCAGGAATATTGTCCTCGAAGTAAACGAGAGTGGGGAGGTGATCAATCCCATATTCCTTTGCTTCTGCATCGTTATCTATCCTGACAATAACGATTCCTTCTTTCTCTAATTCATCGTCAATGTTTTCTAATTCGTTAAGTATTCTAATATCTTGCTTGTCTTCCTTATCGTCTGAAATTCAAATAACGTACGGATAAAAAAAGAAATACTTTATAAAAACAAACAAAGTTAACAGAGTACTTACAGAAAATTACAGCTAAATACTTTGTATTGTCTACGAGCTTATCCATCATTTCGTCAGTCACTTCAGGTATTTCACTATGGCGTTTTTGATGAACCAACCATCCTAAGAGTTCGTCTTCCTTCATAAGGTCCCCTTCATAGATGTGTGGAATACCCTTTTCAAAGAACACCATAGTGGGAACAGTTTCAATACCATATTCTTTAGCCTCTTTGTCGTCATCGATCTTCACAAAAGCTATATCGTTCTGATCACATTCATCGTCAATATTTTCTAATTCAGCTAAGATTTTCTGACTTTTCTTCTGATCTTTATCGTCTGAAACGAATAGAAATGCACTGTATGTCATTTATTTGCCAGTTCTCATTAGAAAAAGTTATAATTCCAAAATATATTCTAGTATAAACGAAAAATTATTTATTACAATACTATTTAAAAGTGTAAAAAGATAAATAAAAATATTTACAGAATAAGACAGCAACGTATGGCATTTTTTCAATCATTAAGTCAAGCATTTCATCCGTTATGTCTTCTATTTCATCGCTCTCTGTTTGATGCTTTAACCACGCTAGTACTTTCTCTTCCTCTTCTAAGTTACCCTCATAATATGTCGGAATTCCCTTTTCAAAGTATAGCAAAGTTGGAATTTTTTCAATTCCGTATTCTTTTGCTTCGTCGTCGTTGTCAATTTTAACGAACGCAACACCAAGTTGGTCACATTCATCGTCGATGTTTTCCAGCTCGTTTAATACCTTTTGGGATTTGCGATCATTGTTATCATCTAAAATAATAGTATTATAAATTAGTCTACGTTTATATTTCCCCGATTCCTATGCATATAAAAACATCAATCACCCTATTAAAATCTTACTTACAAAAGAGAACAGCAACAGTTTTTCCATCTTTAATAAGACGATCTAACATTTCATCCGTTACATCTTCAATTTCATCCTTTTCTAACTGACCAACAAGCCATTCTAATATCTCGTCCTCATTTTCGAGGTCACCTGATAAGTATCAAACAATTTAAATAAGAACTAATTTTCAAATGCTTTATTTTTAATATAAAAAATTGAAATACCGTCATAAACATTGGGGATTTGCTTTTCGAAGTAGACAATCGAGGGAACATCGTCAATGCCAAATTCCCGAGCTGCTTTTTTGTCATCGATTTTAACGAATTGTATTCCGTGGCGATCACAATCATCATCTATTTTCTCTAATTCTTGTAGAACTGTCATGGACTCATCGTCGCCGTGATCGTCTGAAATAAATAACAATAACTTTATTTTCTGTTTATTTCTAGTGTTAGATATGTATTGCTTAAAAATAAAAAAACACATACAAAAAAGTACTACTAAGTTGTCTACGTTTCCTATCAGCGTATTCAGGGTTTTTGCAGTGACATCCTCGATGACATCTTCTTCGTCCCCAGTCGATTTGTTCGCAATGAGCCATTCCAGTACATCTTCCTCTCTGCTTAATTCGGCTGGAAAATATTAATAATAAGTACTATATCTCTATCAAAAAAGATTCAGCTTATTTAAATATATCCCGGTGCGTAGCAGTTTCGTAATTTAATTGCAAAAAAATGACTCACAAACCTTCATAGATAATAGGTATCTGATGCCTGTAGTATACAAGTCTTGGCAGTTCTCCAAGACTGTATTCTTCAGCAAGTTCCTCGTCGTGGATCTTTACAAATCCTATGCCGAGTTGATCTGCTTCATCGTCAATGTTTTCCAATTCTTGAAGAGCTTTCGCACACTTTTTACATTCAGGTTTATCTGGAACATTGAAAGCTGCGTTAGACATATATTATCTGAATAATTTGGAATACAAAAGATGTCTATACATGCCTCGTTTAGGAGTCTAAGCAGTGCAGTTAAGCGATTTTGCTTAGATATTTTTTGTGTTACAAGAATGTTAATAAGAATAACGTGTGTGCTTAAAAGCGTCGTGTCGTGCAAGTGATGGTGATAGTGCTATTCTAGAGGTGGACGTTTTGGGCTTTCACTAAGATTCAATCGTTGCGAGGAAAACAAATTCCAGTGGATTAAGTGGATCGATCTAACATTCCTCAAAGGAAAGCAGCCCTGAAAATCAAGTATCATCTCTCACGGGGTAGCAGCCCTGAAAATAAACTAAAATCTGTGAAGTCATTCAAAAATGTCCAAACAATGTGCTAGGTGCTAACGAGTGCCATATAATATGCGGGAAGTTTATTTATAAACTCTAACACACGTCATATAAAAATCGTGAAGTGTAACAATGTTTATATGCATAATAATTATTGTGCGAGACTGTAAAGTATTTGGGTCAAGGTCATCTTATCCATAGCAAATATACCGAGGATCTTTAGACATCATTAGAGGTCATTCCTACGGGAATATATATTGGGATTAGGAAAGAGTTCGCCAGTCGTGACATGTCGGTCCGTCAATCCGAGCTTGCTTTCGAGACGGAAATAGAACATCAGAAATAGCTTGCTCTACAGTCCGATAGAGCAAAGGCAAACTCGTTTTCGGTTAACTATTTCCATACGTGTTGGATACATAGTATTAAATAACACCGTAATCTAACAAAATATGCAGGTTCAATCTGAAAAGAACGTTCGGCGCTATCCGCTGACCAGTAGACTGATAAAAACCATATCAGTGATAGTTATTTCTCAACCATTGTGTCGTGTTGTCTTGGAGCCAAATATTTAATTGGATAATGCATCAACTATAAGAAATCGATTAATGTGTCTAATTATCCCAAAAGTGCCCACCGCGCACCGCATTACAAGCGGAAAACACGATCTATGTGAAATAAAATCTATTCTACGAAGCTAAATGTAACAGCCACAACGTCAATTACTGAGGCATGCCGCCATCTGAATTCCTTACTTACTGTTCATCGGGCCGCAATTTTTGTGATCGGGACCTACGTCAAAAACACTGTCAAACACACAGCACAATGTACTTTCCTTTTTACAATCATTACGGCGCACGTTTTATAAGTGAAGGCAACAGCATAGTTAACTACTCGACTACTACCACATTATTTTAACTTGCTCGTTGTTAGTTCAGAATATGCCTCAAATTTTACCACATTAGCTTATCAACATTATTCATTTTACAAAAACCAATTCATCGTTGAGATACATACAAAAGAGTACAGCTACGTATTCCGTGTCCTCGACTATTTTCCCGAGGATCTTCTGGTTGACTTCCTCTATCCTGTCTGGAAGGTCCATTGCTTCTAGGCTCGTCAGGAAATCCAGAACGCTCTCTTCGTCCATGAGATCTCCTACAATTAACCGTTTAAGTATCTCTTCTGAACGAAACGAGTTACCACATTAAGAGCTCATTTGTTATTTTAAGTCATAGTTACAGTCAGTCTTACCGCAATGCGTTATTAATTAAACCTGATCAGTTGCCAAGACATCAACCTCGTAGACATCTCGAGCCATCTACATGTACATCATCAATGTCATGTCAAATTGCTTTTGTATTCATCATGTATAGAGATTTTTTTATATTGCATAATGCACTTAGTAGCTGATCTATTAATGGATGCCTTGTTCTACCGGTATGTCCGCTTCGTTTTTAGGCGTGATTTATCTCTTTGTTACTATTTTTAACTAGACCAGATGGCCCGTGAAAGTGTTTATGAAACGCTTACCTTCGTAAATGATCGGTTCCTTCTCACGGAAGTACGTGAGGGCGGGGAATTTCGTGATGCCATGCTGTTTCGCCAGCCTCTTGTCATTTATCTTCACGAAGTCTACGCCGAATGTGTCCGTGTCATCGTCTATTTTTTCTAACTCCTCTAGTACCTTATCGCACGTGACACAACTTCTTGCATCTGAAAATTATATTTCTTTAGTTTGAAAATAATTATAAATGGCTTTTAATATATTTTTTCTTTATCGTAATTCATTTAACATTTCAAAAATCTTATTTTGACGTAGTATTAGGGCACTAATAAAGATCTCTTCCTACACGTGGGACCAAAAATCAATTTTATTTCATAAATAAAACCCATTTCTTTACTATATTTTACCTGGCTACACCTTTTAAAAGGCTATAACAATTGAACTACAAATATTTCTAAATAAAAACCCTGCGGTTTTATCATAAAAGACGACGTGCATTTCAATCGCAGCAACTGTGCTGGTGAAAAATAAACTCATAAATACGAAACTCGGGATACGGCAAGAACTACTCGAATTTACGACTGCTTGCTTTAGCCCACGAAACAGTTTTATGTGTGCTTGCGGTGTTTTCTTAAAATACGCGTCTATTAATTATATTGTAAAGGTAATAGGACGGGCTGGTTGGTTTGATTCGTAATTGTAAATCGTAAAGGAATACTGTACATAAATACCGGAAGAACTGATTTATAAATTGACTTATGTTAAACAAATCTCTTCTCGATCATTTCTAAGCGACTTGATGTGAAGGGAAAAAACAAGAAAAAGTGCTATAGGAAAATGATCCGATGAAGAGAACAATAAAAAATAATTGAGAATCATCTGAATTATTCGTTTAGCTCAATATTTGATCAGAGCCATTCCAACCATTCCATCCATCATCAGTAATCCTGATATTGCAATAAAATCTGTGACGTCACATCATGTATAGGTAATTAAAGTGTTCTCGCCCTTGGCGTTTGAGTTTATAGCTTGCCAAATGATCTTAGCCTCATTTACTTGAAATCTGCTGTAACTCTAAATATATCCAAAACGTGTTTTACCCGGCTGTGAACATTATGTCCCATTAGTTAAGTAGTTACGAGGTTCGGGTACGGGTTCAAAATCGGAAGAAACGTAAGGTATTTTAAATCTGCCCGTAGTTTGGAAGTGTTAACCCTAAGTTCCTGGAAGTACAAGGTAAGTCGATCATAGTTATCATATAATAGTGGTTAAAGTGTCAACTCTTACAGGCATCGATGTTTTATGAGCATCATCTCGTTAGCAGCTGGACTAGAGAAAGCGATATGATATGGTATATTGTTTATAGAAATACTCAATGAGTATACTATAAATTTACATAACATAACATAATGAGATATGTTCTTTGATGCAATTCAAGTGATGTTTTTGTCAATTCATCAAAGCTGGACGTAAAAATGTCGACCTCCCACCCTTGTGGCTTGTCAAAATCCTCCATACCACAAACAAGAGGGGCTTTTATGACCAGTATATTCCTAGCAGCGATAAATGGTTTGAAAACAAATATTTTGTTGTTTTTGGTAGAGTGTGAGTTAGAAATTCCAGCACGACAATGGTAAAAAACTTTGCGATCACACAGCAACACAGCACAAAAACAAATGTGTGTCTTAAATGTAATTCTGATCGAATGACAATCTACAAAACTACTTATATCATATTATAGCTGTCTATTCTAATTATTAATGAAACTTCATTCACAAAACTAATAAATGAAAATAGAAGCTGTGAATGAACGTAATATAGCGTAGTTTTGTTGGCACATTGTATATATGTATGTATTCATATTTGTGTTTATCTGTGCTTTGTTAATTACATATATAAAAAAAACTAGATTTAAAAAAACATTAAAGTACGTATAATTGCAATGATATGAATGTTTGATAATTTTAATCTTTAAAAGCATGAAGTTCTATAATTGATATTAGTGCTTAAAAGTGTAATAGAATAATAACGATTTATCTTAGTACTTAAATGTTACAATAAAAGTTGTAGTTGCGTAGACGGCACTTTTGGTCTTCGAGCTAATAAGAAAATGTAAACATTTAAATTTTAACGTGTTCAATTTAAATATGTTAACTGTAAACTTTTTCTTCTACTTAAAGGAAATCCTTTTTTTGTTTGCGTAATTAAGAAATGGTTCTAGGCGCCATCATGAACATATCTACGTCTCGTTCCTTCACAAGCAAAGGCAGTGTGACAGCCTTATGTAAGCACCTTTTTGTTTCGTTCATGGTAATGTAGCTAGTAGATTTTAGTAGCCGTCTGTTTACCGAGATATGAACAGAGGATCTTAAGCCGAACATCAACACCTGACGCAAGAAGGAACTTATATATCACTAACAAAAATAACATAGAACTGACCAAAGTTACGACTCTGAGTGCGATTTAATTCTGAATCTTTTGAATCATTTGTTCGAAAATATCTGAAGAGGATCACTGAAATAGATTTTACGTAAACAGTGGCACAGTTCACATTATCATTTACATATAAACTTCGTTTTATACCTCATCTTTGAACATTTGCGCGTTTTATACTGTTAAGTTTTAGTTGCTACTATCACTATAGTTAAAACTTATAAACCATTTGTTATGTTTAAATAAACACTAAGGTTTAAAACGCGATATATTAGTTAAACTTGCAGCAGCTTTACAGATGCTTTGCAGCAGCGTAGTCACGGCTGCTGCAGAGCATCCGAAACGTCGGGCCGAAGTTAAAAATCATTGTCAAATAAGTTTAACTAATATATCGCGTTTTAAACCGTTATAGTGTTTTATTTAAATCTGTACTACTCGCGTAAACTATAGACACTATTGGTTATGATTAAAGAGTCATAGTGTGGAACAAAAACGATGCCTTGCTACATTTCGTGCTGATGTGAGGATCTAACGACCAATTTTCAGCAGCGACAAGGCACTGAGAGAAAAAAAACCTAGTCATTCTGTAATTGTTAAGAAATAAATTTCAGAGGCCTAATAATTATGCAATATTTCCTTGATGTTTAAATTGTAAATTTTATAGGTTTTGCAGCTGCCTAAAAAATAAGATAGAAGACTTCATATTTCGCCACCAAGAACAGACAGTTATGGGTAGTCAAAAGTTTGACCCCATAAAAGCAGGAGAGTAATCAGGAGAGGGTGAAGATTTGAGTATCACTGAGCTAAGATGTTGGTATTGATCTAAATTATCAAGATTTAAGTTTCATAGTTGCCCATTGTCGAAGGGAAATTTTCATACGTAAGGCTTGGGACTGACTTCATTGTCCGTTACCGAGCGTGGTCAGACAGTTTTTTTATACAGCTTGATATTAAGTGAAATCTTGATAAAGTATTCCAGCCAAAAACTGTACCGAACATGACTAAAACCGAAATGACTTAAACTTAAATTTTTTTTTATATTGCGAACGAAATATAAAAAACCCATTTCCAGACAAGACCAACATGTTAAGATTATTAGGTGGTTAGATTGTGGCTCCGGTGCGAAAATGTCGATTATTGCCTATCGCTCAGTGTTTCGAAGACGAAGTTCACATGGTTTGCACAGAAGGTTTATTAGTTGATTAGAAAATTGTTGGAGGACTCGGTAGCCCAATTGTTAGAGCAACAGCACAGAAAGGTGACGATGCCGGTTCAAGTCCGGCAGGAATCGAAACTTTTTCAAGTTTTTTCGATTATTAACATCGATCGGTGTATTAGTGATCGATTATTATTAGCCATACATTGCTAACGATTGCATTACACTAACGAGCCCATAAAAAACGATAAGGCCTAGGACGTATCGCGCTAGGTATCGCTTTTAAATTTATATATATATCGTTCTTCTTGAACTATTTCTTTCCTATAAAGAAAACATTGTAACTAGAAAGATTCAGGAAAATTTTCCTGGCAACCTTGATTTTGTTGTCATTGAACAGTTAAACTTATAAAAATATTTGACGACGCTTTTAGTTTACCGACAATAGCGTCTGGAGATCTACGTCACGGCCATGCGCGGGCGTCACTGTTTGTAAATCATGAACTACAAACGAAACACTCTTTTTAATTTATGTTTCATGATGATCGTAAAAATCAAGAGTAAAGATGGAGATTAAACTTGCACCTATAATAACTATATTGTCGTACGTACCTTCAAGCGAATTAAACTACGAGGTTCTTATCTGTAAAACGTCGCGGTTTAGTTAATAAAGTAAATTGATAACACGCGACAATTTTGGACGAATTCCAAGTCCAACATTTGTACGACCACATTTTCGTAATTATGTCTTTTCTTTAACACATTATACCAGGCTCTCGCTATTTTTACAAACTACGTAAATTGCCGGCTGACCTTTGTAGAAATTAATTGCCTGTGAGAACATTTTAATACTCGGGGAGAATACAAATTCAATATCTCAACAGTATAAAACAGCGTCTGCTATACTTAGTTGCGATAGCTATCGACTCCTAATAAATTCTACTAGTTATGCTAACTACTCGATATTAAATAAGTTAACGGCAACCTAATTTTGTTTAATATTAATAAGTTTTAATAAATCCTGGTTGAACTATTAGATTATAGTATGTTATTGATCATCATTTATATTATATTTATATCTCTTAACCATATCGTCATGTTATTGTTTTGAAACTTAAGTTATTGATATTTTTTTAAACAGGAGATAATTGATGATAACAGATGATAACAATTTAAAATTATAAGTGTAGTATATACGAATCCGTATAGGCTGAAATATAAATAGACATGTAAAAAATGACATTCACCTTTTGGCAGCGTACGCGCTTAGCATTTTCGAAAAGTTACAGGGAGAAAGAGGGATTCGGCGCAAGAGTTGGCGACAAGCGAAAATAGTCGGAATGCCGATAGCACGTAATGGTGATCTATTTCAGAGGATCAGACACACTATAGTTTTAGCCGGGCTCAGCGTAGGCGCCCGACCTTGGTGGTGGAGCCGAGGAGAGCCCCGCCATTTTAGGTGACGGCGTGTTCGGGTCGGGTTTTATTGTCTCCGTTGCATAACCCGCTGAAATACAGAGAACGACGTCCGCGCCGCAGCGAGGCGCGAGAGAGGCTGGGCCGGCTGGCCGTCGGCCAACGGCTAACTGCCCACCGCCAACTTACACCAGTACACGGCCACGAAGTCCTTCTCGCTGAGGAGTCGCTCGAGCTGCTTGGCGGTCACCTCTTCGATGCGCGGCTCGTGCTCCTTGGGGGCTGACTTGCGCGCGGCGACGGTCACGAACAGAAACGCCACGAGGGCCGGCAGCCACCGAGCCATGGCGAAGGCGCGCGCGGACTGACACTGCCGCCCGCCCTACACGATGCGCGCGCGCCGACCGCCCTCCCCGCCTCGCGCATGCGCACACACTTGAACTTCATTCCGCCCAATGTTTTGTTTACTAATTCAATTAAATCGTCGCATCGACGCGTTAATTAATCCCATTTCCAATAATGACAATTTGAAATACGATAATGTGAACATTCTTTCGTTCGGCTAGCTGTGAAAAATAGAAGTAATCATTCTTAGTGGCTATGGCTTATAACGTGATGATAATATATTAAGTGAATTGGGGATTCGATATTGAAATATGATATTATGCTTATTGTACCTTATTCTATAAAATGAAAAACCGAAAATTAGTACCTTTAGATTACCTTCTACCAGTTCAACTAAATACTCTTTTTGAATGAGTTGATCTGTTTAGTTAGAGGTACGCATTTTCTTTGCTAGCTATGAAATCGTTTTCGCCTGTAATATAAATAAAACTTTATTTACAATAAATACGATACCCTATACCTACTCGCTAATTGAATTGCTGAATGAAATTATATTTGATTCTAAATATTAATTAATTTGTCCATACCGATAGTAGTTAGCTACATATTGTAAATAAAACAATCAATCCCTATAATTATTCAAAATAAGATGGAAATTAAAAATACAGTGGCATAGATAATAAAATTATAAAAACTTGTGTTTAATCACATTCAAAATCCCATCTTATGGATGTGTATGAGCTTGGAAATTAAAGTCAACATTATATTTTTATTGCTATTCTTTGTAAAGAAAACATAATCTTAATTAATTATTTACCAAAGTCGTACCTATATGTAAACTTTTCATATCAATTAACATTATGATTGCAATAATTAATAAAAATCTAATTTCCGAACGATCCTTCTTAAAGACAAGCGCCATTAATAGGGTTGTAACTGCTCACAAATTATGCAAATAGCAAATATTTTATTTGATTGTAGAAAATACGAAGTAGAAGCTTATTTTATGATCAAATTTATATATAAATAAGGGTGAAGCTAGATTTTTGACTGGCTGCTACATATTTATATATTTAGTCTCGTTTTCAAGGATATATTTAATTGAAAAATTCATTTCAAATGCAATAAAGAAATTATACCTTTGGAATTTTGTATTCATACTCGTTCTCGCACTTTACCTAACAGGGCAATTTTTTTTAAAAGTTGAAGGTTGGTGCCATTGAAAAATAAAAAAAAAACCTTTTTCTTTTTATTATTATATAATATTTTATAATTAACAAGCAATAAGATAATACAAAATTAAAATTGTTGTATATTCAATGATTTATAGACTTGAATGTATAATACAGTAAACTAATTTTAAAAGTCAACCGAGTATTTGTAACCCGTTATAAAAACGCGAACACCCCATCCTGGAAGTTTCGATCTTGCGAAGTCGCAAGAAAAGAATTATACTCAGTATATAAAACGTATCTGTTTGAAAATGTCTTAACCTCCTTTAAAAGTGTTAATAAAACATTTTATAGAATTACCAACCCTATTTGGAACTACCAATCAGAAAACAGTATTTACACTTTACCAATCAGAGTCTGTTCAGGTTTCTAAACTGATGTTAGAGCTGTCAAATTAGAAAACTGTCACAAGAACTGTCAAAACTTTAAAGTGTCAACGAATTCTAGTCGCGCAGTCAAGTTGGCAGGCAGCTAGTGAGAACTGCGAGTTCCAAAAACAACATTATTTTTTACTTTGTGAAAGTTAAAAGTGCAGTGTTTTTGTGCGGTTTTTATAAAATGATTATTGTTTGTTAACTGACGTGTCGTGTGATTAAAAATAATCTATCAGAGGAGCGTTTGGTGAGTACTTATATTCATGCAAAATATTCAAACTTTCGTAATAGATTTTCAGATAATACCTTACCTGAATAATAGTTTATCAATGTGCGATAGCAAATGTTGCTATAGGTAGGTATGTCAGTAATATAATTAACTATTTCCATACTTTTGCGATTTAAAAAATACTATAAACTTCTATTACGTAGGTCTTTCAGTCGTAATATTTTTTATATAGAGACTAGTATTCAGTTACATTGACTAATATTTATGACGTCATAATATTACTTTTAAAAACTATTAGTGCATAATTCCTGGTAACTAAGCGGACACTAATACTTTTTTCAGTAGTGTTAAAGGGCTATGGTGATAATTTTAAATGTGTACATCTTTTGTTACATAAAGAAGGTACCATTTAATTCTTGAAACTATATTGCGTTTTATTTTTCATATAGATGTGTAATTTTTTTACATAAAACTTACTACAACAGGTAATATTACTTTTTTATTCAAATTGTATTTGGGAAGATTAATTTTTGAGATGACTAAACTCCTTATTATTATAAGCAATTATCTATTTCTAAAAAAAACTTATTTCTGCTATACAATACATTAAAACATGAATCTGGCTAGGTAAACAACTGGCGTGTTCCTTAAATTCTTCTTATCAGGTTAAAAAAATTTTAAGTTATTAAGGGTGTCTACTACATTAAAACCAAATTTAATATCAAATGTTCAAGCGAATCAAGGGGGAAATGATATCAAACAATCAGATATTCTCACAAACTTTTGTGTTGAAAATATAAGTCAGATTGATTGACAGATTTTACATTTTTACTTTAATAATTTTCTAAATACTTTTATGTTTAAGAATCATAGAAGGACTTCTAATTTTATTTATAAAACAAAATAAGGTTTACTAAAAATTCAGTTGAAAAACAGAATTTAATCTTCAAAGTTAATTGAGGAAGTGGTAATTATTTTAAAAATTTACTTTTATATATAATTTAATTGCTAAATGTAAATTTCTTCCACTTCCATGAACAAGTTTCACCCTATCTGCCCCTTAAATTTTATCAGCATAATTGATAGCATCTAGGTCTTTGTTTAACTCAAACCATTGTACAAATGCATTGTTTGATGAAAACAATGAATTTTATCAACCTTTATTTTGTAATACAAGGTCGGGCTTATTTTGTGTAAACCTTGTGTCTTTTAAACTGTAATGATCTAATCTTGTAAGGCCAATCATTAACTAAAACATATTAATAAGCCTGACTAATTGAGTAATTTATAAATTATTAATTAGCTGTACAACATTATAGTATAATAGTATATATATAGATATAAGCCTATTTTTCTGTACAGCAAATAATTTCTCAACTCTTAGAATTTTATTAGTAACTAACAATTAAACAGTAAAAGATTTGATTTTCTGTCTGTAATCCAGTTAGAACAGTTTATCCTTTTTTAGCTTATAAAGTCACCATTAACTTTGATAGTGTCTTTTCACCATACTATATAATAACAAATAAGTTGTGCATTTGATTTCCACCATAATTGTTACACAAAGCATATAATAAGATTGTGCTGCACTTGGCTTTTTTATGAATTCTCCGAATAGTCTCATTTTGCAGTCTAGATTGTGTGTGTTAAACTTAAGTCAATGACTATTTTATTTAAAAAAATTCTGACAAAGATAATATAAAGAATTTTTAATATACATTACAGTATATGATACTTTCAAACATTCATAATTCTCTTTTGAGTTCTCTATTTACGTTCTTTAATTATTATAGAATTTAGTCATGACGTCATAACATACCTGTATTGGGTACAATTACGGAATTTTCCTTTCGAAATGAAATGAAAAAAAAAATTGGACTCGGGCAGGACTTGAACCGGCATCGTCAGCGTTCCGTGCTGTTGCTCTTCCAATTGATCCTCGATCGAGTCCTTGGGCTCGGTAGCTCAATTTATTTTCGATTTTTAAATTATATAGTGCCTTCATGTGCAATAACATGTAAAAAATAATAAAGTTTTTAATCGTGATAGAAATTTATAATTTAGCCATTTATTTCACCCGACAGCTATTGTCTGTCACATTTTTATAACGATAACGGCTATCAGGTGTAATCGTCCAACCGATATGGTATTGCTTATCACAAGGAGCTCAGTGCATACGTGTCCACAACCCTGACAGCACAAGAATGGCCGAATATCGCGCAGGAAAGGCCGGCATCAACGCTGAAGCCCAAGCGAGGATCAACAGCAAATACAACGACACGATCGCCACAGAAACCCTCGAATGGGTCCAACAGGTCATTGGTGAACCGATAAACACGGCTGGAGATGCAGATAATCTGTACGAGACGCTCAAAGATGGCGCAGTGCTATGCAAGCTTGTCAACAAATTCCAGGAAGGCTTAGTGAAGAAGGTCAACAAATCTGCCATGGCTTTTAAGTGCATGGAGAATATCAACGCGTTCCTGGAAGCCGCAGTAAAATTGGGTGTACCACCTCAAGAGACATTCCAAACGATCGATCTCTGGGAGAGACAGAACTTGTACTCCGTCATCATTTGCCTTCAGTCCTTAGGCAGAAAGGCAGGTAAATACGGCCTCCCAGCGTTCGGGCCGAAAGAGGCAGATAAGAACGTTCGAGAATTCACCGAAGAACAATTAAAAGCGGGACAGAATGTAATTTCTCTGCAATACGGGACGAATCAAGGCCAACAGTCGGGGATCTCGTTCGGTAATAGACGCCAAATGTAAACTATTTTAGCAAGTGTAATTTAAATTATTTCATTAAATGCTTTTATACTTTTTCCTTGCCTTCTTTTATTTTGGTACCTGTTGAAATTGTATCACCAGATAGAACTGATAAGATAACAGTTCGGAATTTACTGCTATAACAATAGGTATATCGAGCTAAGTTATTGCTTCAAGTATTTCCTACTAAGTGATTTCCTTAGAATGTGACGTACAAAATTTAGATTTATAGGTATCTGCTTTGTATTCACACCCCTCTTCTGCGCTCCATCGTCAAATGGGCAGAACGTTAGAAAAGTCAAGGCCCAAATAACCGTCCTAGTGAAACCCCTGGCATTTGTTTGCGTCATCGTGGTGTATTGATCAAACGTAGCTATAACATTTCGGTTCCCTGGGAAATAGTATTGATTTAATTGTACCTATATCTTTCTTTTTTACTTATTTCTTGATTACTTTTTCATATCAGGTCCTTGGTTACGCAAATATTATTAATCATGTGTTGAATCATAGTCAATGCTTAACATATTAATAATTTTACCGATTGCTTGTATATTTCCGTTGAAGTGCAATTAGTTATTGCAGGTCTATCTTATCGATTCTTAGTTTACCTGCGGCACAATTGATATGTTGATAAGAGATCTATTATCGTAGATTACCAAAATGACATTCACCGCATTATTGTTAGAATAAATAACGAACTACCGCTTCTTATCGTTCGAACAAACAACATATTAATGACGCAACAACCTTTGTATACAGTTTTAAAGGATTGAATGACGCATAAGTATAAAATTAAGTAGTATTAAGCGTACATTTACACAAAATAAATAAGGTTTTAGTTAAAACTTAAAAAATATATATATTTGATCTTAAGAAAAATGTAGAAAACGAATTCCTTCTCCAGTTTTGTCTTAGAGCGAATGTAAGAAAAAAACCACATATACATACATCAGTCTATAAATCACAGATGACTTTGTTACACTACTAATATAAATTCTAAACACAAAACATTCAAGTACTTTAAACACAAGCTTGATCTTTCAAATGTTACATAATAACTTGTGGGAGATCCATTTTGTCTAACCCACGTCATTACATAAAGCGGCTCTCGGAAAAATTGTATTATCTATGTAAACATTACTTTTAATATAAAACATCAACCTTCGACTCTCAATCCTCACGATGAACTTACCTTTGACGATACATATATAGATTTAAATAAAATACTTTAATAGTTTAAAAAGCGAAGTATACCTATATCTTATTTGAAAATTATTTTAACTACGGCTCGAAATTTCGGATGCTTTGCAGCAGCCGTAACCACGGCGTTTTAATCCGTTAAAGTGTTTTAATAATAATGAGTCAGCTGTTGTAAAATGATTATAAACAAAACGTCTGAACCCCGCCGGAAACTTTGGTCACGCGTCGACGATTACAGGAAGCACGGATATCCTAACCAGGTTTTAATTCATGGTATCTCTCTTTCACACCTATGCGCAGAAGTGTTTAATGAAAAGGGAGGTATGTTTATATTGTGGTGACATTGACCCCTAGTCTAGTCGTATTTTTCAAGTGTCTACATGTTGTATGCGCGGGGGTATAACTGTTTAATATTAAAGATATATAAAAAATATATTAATAATGATAAGAATGCTCGTGATAACAGTTTTTTGATTTATTATCAATAAGATCTATTTGTGCCCAATGAGCTGGTTTTATTGGTATATTTTATAGTATTTTATAATATTTATACCAATCTATATCCATACTAATATATAAAGCTGAAGAGTTTGTTTGTTTGAACGCGCTAATCTCAGGAAGTACGGGTTCGAGTTGAAAAATTATTTTTGTGTTGGCTAGTGAGAATTTATCGAGGAATTTATCATTTATTTTATATATAAACCTCCTAATACATGAAGACACAGCGAGATATGAGAAAAAAATTGGGAAAAAAATCATTATGGGTTTCCGAGGCGTACGCTGCAGAAACCGTTCAAGATACCCAAAAAAATATGTATGAAATAATGATTCCTCTTTAAATGATCAAAAAAAACAACTCCACGACGCTATAATATGTCCATCTTTTAAGATAATCCCGCAAGAACGACGAGAAGGGACGCGACAGACGTCGTATAAAATAACTTTCCATGCGGACGTAGTCGCGAGCATACCAGCTAGTAGCATATAAACATGCTAATACTCAAAGTGTACTGGCGTTGCAATTTGATTACCTTGCATTTTTTAATCATGCACTTTCGACAGTGAAAGTATTAGGAAGCCTGAATGATAAATAACGCTAAGTCTCTTGTGACTTGGCAACTTCCTATGATCAAGGGGATACTTAATCTTTAGAAAGTGAAATTATAATTTTACCAGTCATCGTAGTAAAGTCGAAATCGGAAATCAGAAAATGCCGCTGCATAATTTTAGTCACTGTAATTAACAAGATTATTGATAAAATACTGTCTGTAGTTTACGCAAGTAGCATATATTTAAATAAAATACTTTACCTGTTTAAAACACGATATATATTAATTAAAACGTCGGACCGTAGTTAAAATAATTTTCCAATAAGTTTAACTAATATATATCGCGTCTTAAACAGTTAAAGTGTTTTAGTTAAAAGATTATTGATAGTTTAAAAGCATAACGATGGTCAACAACAACACCAAGTTTCCGACGAAGCCTTTAGATTGTATTTTCCTTAAGTAATAAAATATAGTCGTAAGTAAAGTAGGAGTCTAAACAGTTACCAACAGTTGCCTTACCTAGTGAGTAGTATCGATCTTATTAGTGAATAGTGTGGCTTCTCCTATATTCACATTATACACTTGCCGTGTCCGCTTACAAAATAATCTGTAACCAATATCTCAGTGAGAGCCTCCTCAGACAAGTAACGGATAACATTCAATACTTGCATTACAGCGAAGATTTTACTTTAGCTATTATTTAATGACGGTCATTAATTCTGCGAGGAACATGAATATAGTCAAAAATAGCCAATGCTTTGTTTTAAGAAATGACCACGTCTTTACGCGTTGAAGAAAGAGACTTAACTTTAAGTCTATAGTAAGTTATTGATGTCTGTAATATATTAAAGAATGAGTGTCTTCTTGTTTGTTGTGTCTTCACTGTCTTACTTATTACACTTTGCTACTAGGATAAAACCAGTATGTTTATTTTGTAAGTTTAAATATTTCTGTTACATACGTCTGTCGATGGCAGTTGTTCAGGATAATTATCCATGACGATGATAAAAACTCATTAATTTACTTAAATCCATAAAACCCTCCAGGCTCTTATACCGTTACCCAATCAGCCCGAGATTATCTTCCACTAACGGGCAATGCATCCGCCGTTGAAAGTTGTTCAACGTAAATTGCCATTTCTATTAATATATGTACTTGCAAGATTGAGGATCTCTTCATCAAAGGAGCATTGGAATTTATCGAAGTATTAGTTGCGCTTAGAAATTAATAATTGTGGTTCAAGTTATCTTGCTAAATTCTAATTACAAATGTAATTAGAATTGCTACCGAGTCCTATACCGCATCGTCGAATTTTTTATTTTCGATTTTTAAATTATATAGTACCTTCATGTGCATGTGAAAAATATTCAAGTTTTCAAACATTTTATAGTTTAATGTGTTCTGTTAAACGTTCATAAATTCTCACGCAGCCGGTCGTGATCGAATAAATAATTGTGGTTGCATAACCATTTGCTTATTAACTAATCCATGATTTTAAAATCTTAAACCGCTTAGCCTAGTGTAAAGTCTTATTCTTAAGCCGCATTATCACTTTTGTACGAGACTGTACAAATTCACCAGTTAGCTTCGACCATTCATTTCTGACTTATACGACTTCTTTGAAAGTTTTGTCACTTCCCATTACTGTGAGATTTTCAGTGCTCAAAATTATCGTCAACTGTCTCTTCACAATAGCTGTCTAGAAAGTTAACCGTAGCATCATTTATTTATATTCGTATTTATTGAATGGTGAAACCGCATTTATAAGAAGAAGTATCTTTTGTTTTATAATATTACCTGATATAGAGAGAGATAATAATAACAATATAGAGACAATATCAAAATATGTGTATTAAGCTAAAATGCCTATGGAACACAAATTTCATATTGTAGGTATTCGATATTTTGAAAAATAGTATAAGGAATATCCTCTTTTTCAAAATATCGAACCAAAAAGAGAAAAAGTAAAGTAACTTTTTTTATTGATTTATTCTTAGTAGGTAATTTGTTTTTATGGCCAACAGAATCCTTAATTTGTTAAAATTATGTCTTGCTATCACACTTCTTGACAAACAGCCTATATAAGGCGCTTTTAAACGGTTTAAAACGCCAAATATACTCGTTAAACTTATTTGAAAATTGTTTTACGGACGAGGTTTTGGATGTTTTGCGGCAGTGATCAATGGGAGACTAAACGCGTTTAAAAGGATTCAAGTGTTTTATTTAAATGTGTCCTCGTGTAAACTACAGACAGTATGCAGCCTCTTGTAAGACAGACAGCGACGTCGTATACTGTAATACCTGTACTGAGAGCTGTCTGTCCCTGTTTCGTACAGAAAACCTAAATAGAAATCAATATTGTTACATAATAGATTTTTCTTATACCGAGATTTCACCCATTTCATGGTATGTTTTCCCTATAATAATTACTGATTATGGTACTCAGAAATATTCTCAAAAGCGGAACGAGAAAAAAGTTTTCCATATTACTTAGCCGTGTTAACAGTGATCTTGGTAAAACCTTCATGATCTTATCAATAATGAAGTGTTTCATTTGTAATCTAAGTGGATCATTGAATAATTTATAAATGCATACAACCTGCTATCGTTAGCAGGGATCGCTTGAACAATACGAAGACAGTGTTAATTTAAATATTGTTATGGATAGTGGGAACGCGGTCTGTGTTACGCGGCAGCGACAAAAACACTTTTTAAAAGAAATTATTTATTAAGGTATTGACTAAACTAGGATAC